TAGTCTTTGAAGGTGTTTGCTGTATATTACTCTATTAGTACTCCGTCGATAAGTGATGTAACAAATACCAGTGAGGTAATATCAGAACAGCACAGCATCACACCTGCTAAAGGGTTTGCTTTCAGTCATGCCAAGCAGAAGTTGGTTTTAACTTTTAGAAATTTTGAATGAGTTTGGCCTACTGAGGTTAGAAGATATATAAAGCTGAGGGGGCTTGAGCTGCTTTTTAGGGTAACTTGTTTAATTCCTGTATTTTTTTTCTGCTACTCTCAGAGACTGGCTTTTCTATGTCCTGTTCCATATTTCATCTTTTTTTTTTTTTGGAGACAGGGTCTCACTTAGTTCAGGCTGGCCTTGAACTCACCTTGTAGCCTAAGCTGGCTTCGACCTTGTAGTGATCCTTCTGCCTCTGCCTCCTGAGTGCTAGGATTATAAGCATGTGGCACCACATGAGGCTGTTTCAACTGTCTCTATTTTTTCCTGGAAATGCTGGCAAAAATGGAAAATAACATATTTTAAAACTTTGTTTTATGCTTTACCCTAGTTTCCTTTTTCTTCTTCCTTTTTCCTGCCTAGTGTACCTCAAGGTCATTCTCTCACAATTTTCTTATAATTTACACCCCTATCCAAGAAATGAGGGCAGTGTAGTCAGGAGTGAATATTATACACCTGTAATTACCCTTCTATGTGCTCTCCACAGCACTCTATTTCCTTTATGATAGCGCACATATTTTCTTACGGAAGAGTTCTGTAATTTTTGTTTAACAGCATACAGTAGAACTACAGTAAACATTTATTAAATGGCTAATAATCATCATTTCTTCATAATTTATTAAGGTACCATACTATGTTTTTTGTTTGGGGGGTTGTTCTTTTGTGGTGCTGGGGATTGAGCCTAGGGCCTTGCACACACTAGGCAAGTGCTCTGCCACTAAGCTGCATCTTCAGACCCCCTATTGTGTTCTTGGTACTTGGAGAGAAGTTCTTTTACGTAAATAGTGCTTTCAGATTTATGATTTTTGTTATATGAATTTAGGGAAAATATAAAACTGGTCAAAGTAACACTGATCTTTTCTAAATTTATTTTGCTAGCATGCTTTTGATTCAGAAAACTTTGCCCCAAACTTTATATAAAGGTGGTTTTTGTTAGAATTTGTAACACTGAGGAATCAAATGCCATCTAATTATGTGATTTCCAGAAACAGGATGTTTTTTGTGTGTGTACTAGGAATTGAACCCAGGGCCTTGTATACAAGGTATGATAGAAATATCTGGTGATTTATATTTAACAAAGAAACTGGTAGCATATGGGTATATATGTGTTTTGCCAGTTGAACAAATTATAAATTCTGTTTTGGATTAGCTGTTCAACCAGCTCACTGAATCCTCTTAACCCTGTTGAGCAATCCACATAAGTAAAAACAATTTCTTTGATAAAATCAGAAAATACTGTCTAGATCTTGCTTGCTTTCCTTTTTTCTTTAATCCCTTTTTAAAAAGATGAATAGGAAAATGGGAATAGAATTACTTCAGGCATGGAACTTCCTTTTTGTAAGCTGTGTTTGAATTTATTTGAAAAAATGATCTGTGAATTAGTATTACTTCAGTAAGTATGGGTCTTACCAAACTATTACCTTTGGTGGAACATGGTTGTACTGCTAGTTATAAGTTGTTTTTTGGATTTTTCTGGTCATTGGAGAATCAAATAGTTGTGAGGAAGGAAAGAAAAAATAATACTGCCATTTTCATTCTGTGTCTTTGCTTTACATAATTTCCATCACTCGTAACCACAATATGGTAACCTTTCTATTCTATATCATCTTTTGTGGTAATTAAAATGTTTGTGTTTGTATTGTTACTCAGGAATGTTTTTCTTCCGTATCCTCTATTGTATCTCCAACCTGAAGATAGAATTAGTGTTCTTATTTCTCTTTTTTTTTAGACAAGGTCTCACTATGTAGTTCAAGGTAGCTTTCAACTTGCTATGTAGCCTAGTCTAGCCTCAAACTCACAGCAGTCCTGCCTCAGCTTCCGGAGTGCTGCAATTATAGCCGTGCACCACCATGACTGGCCTTATTTCTGCTTTAGATCGTTGTTCAGTTTCATCAGATTGTTACCACTGCCAACCTCCCTTTTGTGAACTTCTTCATCATTTATTTGTTTGGCTGGCTTACTTGACATTGCTTTTCCTTCTCCTCAGTGCTTAACTCTCCTTACTTAGTGGGTTTATGATTGCCCTCATTCCCAGGCCCCTTTAGAGCAGAGCTAGATCTTAGAGTAGTACCTCAGGGTTCCATGAACATGTGAGAGGTTGTAGAATTAGGGACCATGATACTTAACCCACGCCCCAGCTGCAAGCCTGTGTCTGCTTTCTCTCGCCTCCTAAAGAAGCCGTAGCTCCACACAGTGGTGTTTTGCTGCCTTTTTCAGTCTCTGTGAGAGGAGTAACCTAAACTCACGGCCCTCGTAGCCTTATTGTAGTTTGTTTAGTCATACTGGACATTAGTCGTTCTTGTCCGTAGGGTATAGCTGCTGCTGTATGAACTGAAAACTTGTCCAGCCCATGTCTTTGCCGATGAACTTGCTTACATTCCTGTTCCCTTTTGACTAATAAATGATATGACTGATACTCAGGTTAACAATTGCTAGCAGTCTCTTACCTGCCTTGGTTTTTGTTTGCAGACTTCAAGAGCTTAACTGTAGTGGCTGCCCTGAGGTTGACATCATTTCTGTCTTTCAGAGTAAAGTTCACAGGCTTAAATACCAGATACTTATCTTTGATCACGCCAACTCAGAAATCAAAACGGTCTCTCTTACCGCAAGGCTTAAGTGTAAACAGAGATTTCTTTTCATTTGTTACCTTAATAAACAGATATTAATATGAGATTGTAAACTGTATTTTTTGTTAGTATGCCTTTTTAAATCTTGTCGAAGAGTATTTAAATTTAATTTCAGTAATATTCTTTTATTAGGATCTCTCTTTTTTGAGGGCACTAAAGATTAAAGCCACGGTCTTCACACTGAGCTACATCTGCAGCCCTTTTTTCTGGCAGTTTTATTAGTACATGTTTGCAGTACATGATTACATGTATCCTGGAGAGTTGGTACATGTACATGACATGTCTTAATTCTTTTATGGTCCCTCCTTCTCCTTTGTAGTATTTCTTACGCGTTACTGTATGGTCATTTCAAAGGGAGTTGGCCAGAAGGTACATGGATGTATGGTAGATCGTTAACTTCTTAAAAAGATGTCATAACTGAATTTAGAGCTAAATATAAAAAACAATGTGTTATTAGTTGGTTTGGCTGACACAGAACACTGTGTCATTCCAAAGCTGAAGAGTAAATTGAAGGAGGAGGAATTGGAATAAAATGAGCAATTATTAGATTTAGTGGCAGAGATTATGAGCACCAAGTTATGTATTCCTCATAATACCACAGAAAACCAAGAAAAATGAAAGACATTTCAACTAAAATTTGTTTGAGGCGATAATATTGTCAAGATGAACAGCTTTTAATGCTCTAATAAGTATTAATGCATCATTTTATAATAAGGGATTAATTTTACAAAGTTGACACTAGAGCCAGGTGTGGTGGCACAAGCCTGTAATCCCAGCACAGGGATTGTGAGGCAGGACCATCATAAGTTTAATCCCATCCTTGATAATTTAATGATGTAGAGAGACCCTCAAAAAGTAAAAGAAGGGCTCGAAACATAACTCAGTGCCAAGGTCCTGGGTTCAGTCTTTAGCACTGCCATAAAAAGAAAAAACAAGTTGATCACATAAGAAAGGTTTAAGCTGTGGTTACTATACTAAGGACGAAGATAGGAAATAGATAAAAAGTAGTTACAGTGGGTTACCTTTACCTGTCTGGAACTCTCACTTGTGTACAACACCCTTTTCCAGCTCATCACAAAAGTACTGTCATTTCTGTACTGGTTATTAATTTACCAGCAGAAGTGGTACTGGTAAGGGTCTGTCATTTAACATCAGTAATTTCTAGCTGTTGTTAGTAGTAACTGAAACTCCAGAGTAAAGGAACCTGAATTGTTTTTGCTTTGAAGTGTGTACCGTCTAAAAGTTCAACCTCTGCTTAGCAATTAAAAACAGTATGTGCAGCTGGGTGTGTTGGTGTGCACTGTAGTGCAGAAAGGGCTGGTAATACAGCTCAGTGTGAAGGCAAAAGAACAAACAAAACAGAGCTGGATGCGGTGGCACATACTTGTAGTCTCAGGCTGAGGCAGGAGGATTGCTTAAACTCAGGAGTTTGAGGCTAGCCTGGGTACCCTTTTCATAAATAAAATGCAGGAAAATTAATTGCTTCTTGTTTACGGCAGTCTTTGGAAGTAATAATTTAGCTCAGGTCATTATCCTCTTTAGTTTTCCTTTTAGCTGTGGTTCATTCGTTTTGGTATTTTTCATTTATTAATACTGGTTGTTCTGGCTCTAGTGGCTATCTTTCTGTTATCATGGTCCATTTCTGTTTCCTGCAGTGAGTTAATCACTATTTGATGCCTTAGACACTTCATTAATTTCAACAGTTGGGAAAACTTAATTATATTACCAGTTGAGAGATGTATTTAAATTTTAAAATGTTATATTCCTGAGCTGGGGATGTAACTCAGTGGTATAGCATTTGCTTAGCTTGAATGAAGCCCTTGGGTTTGATTCCCAGTACTCTATCCCCCAGAAAGTTTCCTGAGCATCTCAGTTTAAACTATATTTGGTCAAGTGACATAGTGAAAATTTTAGTAGAGTAAAAGAATATGGGATATTGATAGTAAATACGATAATAGTTAAGTTTTATCTTCATCTACAGTATAGTTTTGAATAACAACATTTTAACATATAAATGCATTTTCTATAATATTTGCTAACCTTTATGAAAGACAATTCTAAATATACCCTTGATAACTGAAAAAGGGCTGGTGATACAGCTGTTTTTTCTGTTATTTGCTGTTATTTCTTTAACTTTGTTTTATAATTACTCCTTTGTAGAGTGTTTCTCCATCACAGAGAGATGAAGTAATTCAGTGGCTGGCCAAACTCAAGTACCAATTCAACCTTTACCCAGAAACATTTGCTTTGGCTAGCAGTCTTTTGGACAGGTTTTTAGCTACTGTAAAGGTAAATATTTTAAAGTATACTTACGTATGACTAACTTTTGGGGGGGTTATATGTTAAACTAGAGGCATTCAGTAAAGTGCTATAACGTAGAAAGAACTAGAAAACTTTCTGCAGAATGGTATATGTACTCAAATGAAAACATGTTATCTTCTGCCATTTTATATTTTTGTTTCTAACTGTATTCTGTAATTTTCTTTTTGCAACAAATACTCTTAACTTTTGTTTATATAGTTTTTATTATAAACCATGTAGCATTGGTAGAATGTTTAGTCATCTCTAATGGTGCACTATAGAAGTGGATAGTGAATCAATAGAAAAGTAGAAGCCTTTTTCAGATTTTTCTTACTTTTTATTTGTTGACTATATATATTTTGTGGTTTTCTGGATGATATGTAAATACTTTCCAAGGACATACTTCGGGATGTAAAGATGTCATAAAATAATCTTGGTATATTTTTATTAATAGTAGCATATGAATATTTTTTTTTTTATATTCAGGTTTTATATTGTCCTTATTGCTGTAATATACCATTGGCTATATTGTGCCATAGTAGGCCCACAACACATTTAAAGCGAAAACTCAGCATTTATTTAATGGCAAAGCTTGAAAGAGTAGAAAAGCAATTAATTTGCTTACATGCCTAGGAATGTATAAAATGTGAATTAAGTGCTTTGTTACTAGGCATTATGGCCTGTATCTAGATGTCCTCCCAAATTCACATGTACTCTAGGTGTGGGGCTTTGGGGAGGTGCTTGGATCATGGTTGTATGATAACTGGATTAGTCCACTGATTGGTTTGCCTAGCTCTGGGTGTGGATAATGAAAGGCCCATCCTGGGTGTGCATAACACCAACCAGTAGGCTTGTAGCCTGAATGGAATATAAAGGGAAAGGAAGGCTCCTTAGCTCTGTCCTGCCTACATACTATCAACTGTTTCTCCTCTGCCATGTTGCCCTGCCTTTCTTCCTTTAACTTGGTGTCAGGTATTACGTCCTAGCAAGAAGAGTAAGATACTAGGTATGAAAAAGGAAAGTCAAAGAGTATGGAATGTAAGATTTTGAATAGCCATTCAGTTATTTTATATTTCAGACTTCTACTCTTAAGAGACTTAAAGAACCCTTAATCCTATTTTTTTTTTATTTATTTATTTTTTTGGTACCGGGAATCTAACTCATGACCTCAGGCTTGCCAGGCAAGCACTTACGCCACTGAGCTATATCCCCAGCCTGAGAACACTTAATTCTAATGATGCTAATTGAAATCTGGGTAATCTGAAAACTCTACTTGCAGCATGCCTTCCTCCCGCTTTACCACAGCTAACTTCCCTTTCACAAATAGCTCCATGAAAAGGAGATTTTAAAGATAGTGGTCATGCCTAGGTCATACATTTTTCAAAAATTGAGCCGAGTCTACTATCATAAAAGATATTTCCTGTGCTTATTAAACATTTTAAATAATTTAGGAAAATTCTGGAAACAAGTTTGAAACTGTCTAGGATGTAATTTTTTAAAAGGCGCTTAAAGCAAACGATAAAAGGACTGCAATAATGAACTGAATGGAGCCTCCAGAGCTTTCATCCTATACAGGTCACTATGAAGCTCTTCAGAAATGAGCTGGGGATGCAGCTGAGTGGCAGAGTGCTTGCTTACGATGGATGAGGCCTGAGTTCAATCCCAGGCACCACAAAAATAAAAATAAGCAACCCAGGGTAGCAACTCAGTGGTTGTGTTTGCTCAGCATGCACAAAGGCCCAGAGTTTGATTAAAAATAACAACAAAAGACTTGGCCCTATTCCAGATCTTATGAATCCAATTTTCTGGTAGATGAGATACTGGTTGTCTAGATTTAAGGGGAAAAAACATACAGATGAATATTATATTGCAACCAGATTCAAGAAGACTGTTGGCTTTTTAATTACACATTTAATATTGGGATTCTTTTTACTACTAAATTTTATGTATGTGTGATTTTTGGCAGGTTGGTTTTTTGAGACAGGGTTTCACTATATATATCTGGCCTTGAACATGTAGTAGCCCAGTTGAACCTTTTGCCTCAGCCTCCAAAGTGCTGAGATTACAGGCTTGCGCCCCCATACCCTTATTTTTTTTTACTGGTACCCTTGATTCAGAGATTATATTGCCTACCCAAAGTTGTTAACCGTTCTTTTCATTGTAATGAACTTAGATTACTTCAGAGATGTAGGATTTTATATTTTACATACATAGAGAAGTAAAGGATCCTGGAAAAGTCCTAGTAACAAAATCTGAGTTTATTTCTTAGATCACCTGTGTTGTCTCTCTCAGCCTCTGAGACTGTTTTCTTACCTGTAGGAGGAAGTTATAATAGACATGATACTCTTTTCGGAAGTGCCTTTTAAACTGTAATTCTTCGATTGATAATCATTTATAACAATATTGTTAGTATTGAAACAGCTTTTATTTCTTACATCAGCACAGAATTGAAAGATTCCTGGACTGTAAGCCACTTATGCCGAGGCAGTGGTCATCGGCACATTTAATGCTTATTTAAGTATAAAGTAAATGTTGAGACAGGTTTTACTGTTTGTGTATTATATATATGTTACCTAAATTATCTCTGTTGAGTTTAATTGCCTGAATTGTTTTCTACATTCTGGTATTGCATTGGCAAGCACATTAAAATTGGGTCTGCCTTTTACATAGAAAACCAGGCAAATTCTAATCATCTTGTGTGTGTCAAACTCAAGAAAGGTTTTTTTTTTAAACCACTAAATTGAGGACCTTTTCATTCTTACTGTGGAATTTGAATAGAGGTTTGTGTGCATGTGTGGACACTTAATAATTAGAAAATTTCTTTTCTGCTAGCATTGTATGATTTTTTTAAAAAAGCATTTGCAGTGTACTAATATTCTATTAGTGTACTAATATTCTATTTCTTTTTTCTCTTTAACTTCCCTGACACTAGTATATTACTGATATTTTTAGATAGGTAGAGAATGAAGCTAGCTTTAAGAATATATACACACGAAAAGATACTTTAAAATTTTACTAACATTTATTAAATAGAGACCTTTATAATTAGGCTCTTCTTTGCTGAATAGAAATTTAGCTTTGACTGTCTGACTTAGGTTAAACTTACAGGGTAGAATTTTTATTCCTGTAGAACATCACATGGCTAGGGTTGTGATGTTAAATGTTAACTCTGATCTAGAAAGGGATCAGTGAGAATTAGATGGAATTCTGTAGAATTGTCTGCATACTTGTCTTATTCACATATATAGTTTAAAGTTATAAAAAGTTAATAAACTTTTTTTAAAAATCACTTGTTGCTTTTTACCTTTTTAAACTTTTAGGCACACCCAAAATACTTGAGTTGTATTGCAATTAGCTGCTTTTTCCTGGCTGCCAAGACTGTTGAAGAGGATGAGGTAATAAATCCTTGCATGATTAGTTGTTTCTTTTTCAAAAATTTCACTTTTTAAATTAACTTGCTAGTTGTTTAATTTTAACAAAAATTAAAAGTGTCCTTCCTATCCCTGTTCCCTTTGCTTTGGATAGAAAATTCCAGTTCTGAAGGTACTGGCAAGAGACAGTTTCTGTGGATGTTCCTCTTCTGAAATTTTGAGAATGGAGAGAATTATTCTGGATAAGTTGAATTGGGATCTTCACACAGCCACACCATTGGATTTTCTTCACATTGTAAATACACCCACAGTATTTCTTACTGGAATATGTAGTGCTGTTTTAGTAACTTGAAAAATTAGGGATATATGTCTAAGTCACTACATTAATTAGTAACTTAGAAACTTAGAAATTGACAAATTTAGAAATTAAGATCTGAAGAGGTCCTATTAATTTCTACATGTAATTTCCTGCACATTTTAAGTAATATGAGAATGATCTTGTGATTTTTTTTCTCCCGCCCCAGTTCCATGCCATTGCAGTGTCAGCCAGGCCTCAGTTGCTGTTCAGTCTGCCCGCATTGAGCCCGTCGCAGCATTTGACCGTCCTCACCAAACAGTTGCTACACTGTATGGCCTGTAACCAGCTTCTGCAGTTCAAAGGGTCCATGCTGGCCCTGGCCATGGTTAGCTTGGAAATGGAGAAACTCATTCCTGATTGGCTTCCTCTGACAATTGAACTGCTTCAGAAAGCACAGGTAGGTGTTAGTCCATTGAGTACCCATTTTAGGTTTTTCTCCGCAGCATATACAGGGTCACCAGATGGTTATAAAACTGAGACATTTCTAATTTTATAGTGACAAACTGTTTTTTAAAAAGTAGATAAAAGTATCAGATACTTGAAACTTATGGGCTAGATGTCTTTTTTCTTTCATAAAATTTAGGTGGTATTTCCTTGTTTCTTTTCAACTCTTCCAGATGAAGAATTTTGAAAAATTAAGATTCTTAATATAGTCTTCCTTGGTTTTGAATAGAGAAATACGTAGCTGTACGTTTCATGTAGTATGTCTCAACTTCACTCAGTTTATAAAGTTATTAAAAATGTATACCACAAAAAGTTGCTTTTTAGCCAAATAATTTACTTTTGACTAGAAAGTGAACCATTTGTGCCAGACTTTGGTAGGTGAAAGCTGCCTTTCTGAAAGGAGTTTTGTCCTCATAGTTCCTACTGTTGCGTAAGATTAGTTTGCATTTCTGTCTACAAATTGCTTTAAATGTTATGGGCTGATACGTTATCACCCACCCAAGAACAATATAAAGGTTTAGTGGAGAGAATTCTCATTCAAATGTAATAATGCTGTATGTTGACAACTACTTGAAGAGATGCCTTCCCGGTTCTGTTGATACCACCAAGTTTAGGTTTGCTGCAAACCATATTCCTCTACCAGCTGTGTCCACAACAGAGTCATGAACCTTGCCCTTTGTAAGGCTGTATTTATTCTTAGTTAGCAATACTCTGGTCATGCTTATTGGATATTAATTAGAAGACTATTACATTCTGAGCTTAAAACATTTTGCAATATAAAGAGAACTACAGTGGTACTATAATTGTAGAAAATAGTTACTTTATTCTATGGTAAAATTTACAATAATAGAAAGTAATATTTAAAATTTCTCTTTAAACATACAGATGCAAGCTATGAAGGGTAGGCAGACAGTGAGAAGTGAAGTAACTGAGGGCCATCTCACCTTTGGAGAATTTCAGGCCCTAGTTTGTAAGCAGAGAAGGGCTGACTCTAAAAAGGAATGATGATCAGAGCATTATGTAGTCAGAGCTGTTCCTGTGTAACAGGTTGTTCTCCTTTACAAGGGAGATACAGTTTTAAAAATAAATCATTACTTTTCACAGTAGCCCACTGGTGCCTCCCAGACACAGGGTACACATTTATTTTTGCTTTTATCCTTTTATTCCTTCTGTTTGACCCAGATTTGCTCTGCAGAGCCAGGTTGTTTTTGTTCTTGGTTTTCGGGTTTTTTTGGTCTTGTTTTGAGAAAGGGTTTCACTATATAGCCCGGGCTGGCCTCAAACTCACTATGATCCGCCTGCCTCAGCCTCCCAGGTGCTGGGATTACAGGCGTGTACCACTATGCCCAGCTGCAGAGCCAGTTTCTTCCTTAAATATTCACCCTTCACTTTTTAAGTAACTTTTGGCATTGTTAAAAAGACTAAATAGCATATCTTAGATTCAGATTTAGTGCTTTTATTGAATTAAATGTTGTAATGAAAATAAACCCTAGAAGGAAGTTACTTAGTGTTTTTAGAAATTACCACAAACCACCATAGAAATGAATAGCATGGCACAGGAAACTTAATTTTTCTACCTAAAATGTTGGAGGTAAAGTTAAATATTAATCCTCTACATTAGATTATGAAGTAGGGGTATGAACGTTAATAGAAAATGTCTATTACATTATTTTTTCATTGAAATAAATGACTTATTTTTAAAGCCTCATGAGTTGGCCTCTTGGTCCACTCCCAAGGAAGACAGAAAAAGAAGTTCTGCATAAAAGTGTTATTATCACAAAAATAGGGCAGATTTTGAAGCATACTTAAGAATACTGTAAATAGTATTGTGTATGCTCAGCTTTGAGAGCTTGTTTTCCATTGAACACTGGGAAAGCTGTAGCTTCACTTTTGTGTGTTTTCTGGTGCTGGAAGAAAATGTTTGCTGAGCTTACTTGCCCTTAATTGAAGGAGTGTTATGAACTTCGGATTTGACAGGATCTTCTTAGAAATCACTTCATTCAGTACTTTACTTTATAGCTCCCCTTCAGGCAATGCGGACTTCCTTAGAGCCACATAGAGTTACTTAGTCCTGAAGAGGACTGAGACAACCAGGGTTTTTCCAGTGCCACAGAACAGTAAAGATTCTAGTCTGGTGGTTTTCAGAGTTTCCTTTAGAAGGGGAGCCCTATTCTGCAAACATTTTTTGAAAAAACTATGACATGCTCATTGGAAATAGTGATTTTTAAAAAAAAAAGTCTCTGTAATAGGGAAGATAGTGAATAAAAACAAGCTCACAAAACTTGGTAGACTTTTGGACTTGGTCCAGCAGCTCATCTCTAAAACTAAGTTGAGCTGATGAGCAAGTCTTGTGCCCCAAGCATAGAAAGCTTTGGTTCTTTTAGACTCAGTTCCGTCTTTGCTAAGTTCACCTTTGTCTCAGATTGGAGACCAGGAGTTAGTATCTTTGTAATGAGACCTATGATGAGGCCTGGGTTTCTGGTCTGGTACAGGAAATTCTGGCATCAGACTGTAGAGGTCTTGCCTCCCCTTGCATGTTTTCAGTCTTCTGGTGGTGCTGGAGATTCAACTCTGAGCCCTGTGCTTCTGCCACTGAGCTACACCCCCAGACCAGTGCCAGCATTACTTTGGTTGTGATCCCTAGCATCTTGGTTGGAGGAAGGGTTCTGTAGAGCTCTTGTGCTGTGAGGAGGCCACTGTCACTAGCTTTTGCCGTGCCTGCCTCTGGTCTTGGGACAAAGTAGGGGGAATATTCTTCATTTGAAAGACAAGCCTCCTCATACACCCTCCTTTGCAAGCTTTGTGCTACCTATTGATCTCCAGTCCAGAATGGCTAAACCAGTTTCTCTTCCTACTCCTTCCCTGCTTCTGCCCTTGCCCTACGTGTGTGGCTATGCTCATGTCCTCCTCTCATTGATGTATCCTACCCCTGTAATCTCAGGGTGTTAACTCTGCACTGATTTCCCTACTGTCTAGCTAGCAGTAGTCAAAGTAGGGGATCTAGTTTAAAAATAAAGTCCGCAGTCAAAAAGCAGACCCCTCCGTCAAGCATGGTGGCACAGGCCTGTAATCCCAGCACTCCAGCCAAGGCAGGGAGCTCATAGTGAGTTCAAGGCCAGCCTGCACATAGAGTGAGACCCTGTCTCAAAAAAAGTGGCAGAGCCTCTCTATCAGGATATTCCACCACCACCAGGGCATCCTGGTTCTTCTTCAGGTCCCTAACATCAAACTGTACAAGCAGATATTCTCATTGCTTCAGGATGCCCAATGAACCTGGATCCATCTTCTTTTTTTAATCCTTAAGCAAGGGATACTTAGAAATAATCACCATGTTCAAATTTGGGAGAGAGTCATTAAAATCAATAATAAAGCTTCTTTTGACAGCTGTAATTAGAAAAAATTCACTTTAAATGCTTTTAATAGAATGCAGAGGACTTTTCTGGCATTTAGGGTTGTATTTCCAGTATATGTACTTGTTTTGTTTTTTCCTCTCCCTCTCAAATTTAGACTGTTTCACTATGATGTGTTATTTTGGACAGAGGACTGGTTTGAGATTTAGTTGGAGTTTCTATAGATACTGTAGGTTTGAGTAACTTTTATTATCCCTTCTAGTTTATCATTCTGTGCCAGAATAACTTCACAGGGGATTTTTTTGCACAGAAAAGATATGTATCTCTTCAGGATTCTGTTACAATGTTTGCTATGCTCAGTGATCAAGGGATTAGAATATTTGTGAAAGTTTTACTTTTCTAAAAATACAAAGTGTCATTTAGTTGCTAAAGAATAGTTCTATATTTCATTTTTGTTGTGTTTTATAGGCTGCTTCTGTCTTGTTCTATGGGTCAGCTTATTCTACATCCCTAGGGTGTAAGAGCTGGCCTGTGGTAGTAAGCTAGGTACTTGGGGGGCTGCCTTAAGTATTACATTTATTTTTTTAAGGTAGAAAAAAAAAATTCTAAGGAAAAAATTCACCAATAGTAGGTAGTGTCTTACCCATAGTGTGTTGTCATAGTAGAAAGAAAAAAGGAACAAAAAAAAATCTGAACAAATGGTTGATAATAAAATCTGCCATTTCCATATATGATTTTTGACAATTTCAGGTAATTTTACACTTGTATTACATGATGACTAAGACCAGCCTTTTAGCTCTCTCCACTGCTTAACATATGGTTCTATTTACAAAATTAATTAATTTTATGTCCAAGTGTGTTCTCATATATTACTTTATTTTCTGTGTAATATTTTAGTCATGCTGTGTACTGCAGGTTAAATAGGATGAATAAGACTTGGTTAAGAAATGTCCAGAGTATCTACAAAATCCACAAAACTGTTAAAAAGTGATCCCTGCTAGTTAAATGACCAGGATATATGCTTCCTGGAGGTGATAGCGTTTAGCCACACCTGGAGGGAATGTATGGGCAAAACAGTCTCAGCAGATAGAAACAGGATGAGCCAAGGGTGAAGTACGAAAGGGGGAAATTTGTGCAAAAACTCATCAGGCCTTTTTGACAGCAATGTAGAGCATAAACTTTTGAGGGTGTACTAGGAAATAAAGCTGAAAAGAAGGGTGAGGTCAGATTGGAGAGCCTTATTAAAACAAAGCTGAGGTTAGCTTGTGGAGACCCCCATTTAAAATAAAAAAGTGTTCAATGTGAAAGGCGTGTGATTCAGTCCCCATTACTGGAAAAAAGAAATAAAAAGGGAAAGTAAGGCAGGGAAAGACAGGGAAGTAAGGACAGGGAAAGTAAGGCAGAGACTCTTCAAGCCTATAGTGGAGGCCCTAGATGGTTCAGTTTAGATGATTTTAAAACACTGGGGACAGATGGCCACGGAAGCGGGGGCGGGGTTGGACGAATCAAGTGTGATTCCAGAAAGGATTGATACTCAAACTGTGCTGAAGGGTTAGGGGTAAGGAGGAATGAGCAGAACCCTCAGATTTGCACGAATGTTACAAACGTTTCTTCTTAGTGTTAGTCCTGTGAACTGAAGCTCTCATTTATTCAAACTAAAGTATTTACATTGTTTCAAATTCTCAGCTAGAGACAACCTTCCTGTCTGATTTAACATTTGTTTTTCCTTGCTTCTGGCTTCCTCCTTAAATTCATGAATTTCATGTTTGCCTTTTCCTTGGTCTTCACTGAGGAAATTAAAAGAGGCAGAGAGGTGGGATGAGAGGCTTTATAGAGAGGAGGCATTAACTGGGAGAAGAGCAGACTTCAGTTGTATAGTGCTGAACAGTTTCTCCTCTGTAAATATCAAGCGTACACACTGGAAAATAACAAGTTCCAGAGAGAATTATATTAGAAATAGGACTTTGTGTAATTTAAAATGGTCCTTAAGCTTCCGCAATCAGTGAATTTGAAGTAGGTATGGGGACAGAACACTGGAGGATCAGAGGCAACAGGAGTAGCAGCCAGCAGAGATGGCAGAGCGGTGGTCATGAATTAACGGTCAGTGTTGTGTTTTCTCTCTGGTGCAGATGGAGAGCTCCCAGTTGATCCATTGTCGAGAGCTTGTGGCACATCACCTTTCTACTCTGCAGTCTTCCCTGCCTCTAAATTCCGTTTATGTCTACCGTCCCCTCAAGCACACTCTGGTGACCTGTGACAGAGGAGCGTTAGGATTACATTCCTCCTCTGTCTCAGGCCCAGATTTCTCCAAGGACAACAGCAAGCCAGAAGTGCCAGTCAGAGGTACAGCAGCCTTCTACCATCACCTCCCAGCTGCCAGTGGGTGCAAGCACACCTCTGCTAAACGCAAAGTGGAGGAAATGGAAGTGGATGACTTCTACGATGGGATCAAGCGGCTCTATAATGAAGATAGTGCTGCAGAAAGTGTGGGTTCTGTGTGTGGCACTGATTTATCAAGGCAAGAGGGACATGCTTCCCCTTGTCCACCTTTGCAGCCTGTTTCTGTCACGTAGTCTGAACATGCGTTACCTGTCAGCGCAAGTGAAGGTTGACTACTTGGGAACAACCTGTAAAACTAGGACAGGCTATGAAGGGATATATACCTTATCAGGCTAATTTGAAGAGAGCGAGAAAAAAAAACCCTCATTTACTTGTACAGTTAATTATAATTTAGTATTGTTTAAGGCCAAAAATACCTACCAAAACATTTTTTAAAAGTAAATTTCTTTGTAGTGTGTCAGTTATGCTCTTTTTCTGTGCTAAAATGTAGCTTGCCCCATTTCAAAGAATTGTTTGGGAAAAAATTCCAAAATTCAAAGCTGTCCACCCTTTTTTCCCCAGCATCCTGATTTATTTTCCTTTTGCTTGTTTTTCTATTGAATACTTAATAAATTTTATGCACGTTTATGTTCTCTGCCTTCCACTGAATAGGTACACAGCCCCCCTTTTTTGGTAGCAAAATTAGTGTGACAGCTATGTTTATTCCATGATTTAGATTCCAGTTAGTCTCAAAAGTATACTTTGGAATTGTCCAGATGAATCAGGGGTGGTAATAAAAACAGTTCTCACATTACCACTTGATTTTGTCTCATTTTAGTTTTTAGAGTTTAAAAACAAAGTTACTGCTATATTTTATCTTAAATTTTAAAATGGCAGGTAACTAGACCACATATTTGTTGAAAACATTTTTTGACATTTGTATAAAAGAATTTGTGACAAAGTTAATATATCCAGGTGCTCACCAAAGAAACATAGGTTTTTGTAACTGATCTGTTTTCACTCATTTATAATCGGTAGACTGTCTAGATGTTGGGGCAGCTCTATGATTTGAGTCTGTAATGTGTAATTCAGTACCCTCATTTATATTAGGATGTTAGGACTTTCTGATAAAAATTACTCCATTTCCCAACCTACCTGTACTTCTCTTAATTACTATTGGATCCTGAGCTCCCTTTGCAGTCTGGGTAAGGTATTGGCAGTCATAGTCGTGTACTGATGATAAAAGCCTCTGGTAGCAATAAAAGGTTGTCCTTGACCTTTGTGTCTGTGACTTTTTTTCTGCTTGTGAAAAGGTGTTGGTTCCTGATTACTAGGTACTGTGATTTCAACTAAGGAAAACAATAACCTTAAGAACAGACTTACTGAAAGCGTGAAAGGAATATTCAAGTGAGACTCAAGGTTGTAGGTTTAGGTGTAAGAATTCCCATTATTTTCTCACTGCAGGGATTGGGGTGATCTACACAGTAAATTCTTACTGGGACTGTTTGTGAGGGCAGGCTCAGGCCTAGTTTTTACGTCATTTTTAGCCCACTGATTTTGTTCAGGTGCAGCACAGCACAAGCATTGTCAGTCCACGTCTGACTTCTTGGAAATTCTCATGGAATGCTGTATTACCTACCTATTTTGTGACCTGACCTTATAATCCAGCTGAAGAGAAAGCACTTATTCACATGTTAGTATAGGGAGTGGGAGGGAAGATAAATGAATGAACTCCTTACATGTGAAGACAGCAAGGGATTGGCCTCACAGTTTCACATTAAAAAACTCATCCTAGAGCCAGGTGTTATGCATGCCTGTAATCGTAGCACTCAGGGAGCCTGAGTTCAAGGCCAGCTTTAGCTACACAGTGAATTGAAGGCCAGCCTGAACTATATAGTGAAACCCTGTCTCAAAAGAAAACCCAAAAAACGATCCTGATTTTCATTTCTATTTCTCAGTTCTAAATTGTGGGAGCTCCTAAGAAACTTACACAGAATCTGCTCCAAAAAAGTATACACACCTCAGGAAAAAACATGTACTTTCACCAGATGGTGTTACCCTTGTATGGGGGATCCTAGAGGATGTATTTCACAGGAAACCCACTACACTGCTGGCACTTAGGAAATTGAAAACGCATGTGCAGCAATCTCTGACCAAGGTTACCTAAGCAGCAGTTCACTGTGCTAATGTCTGGAAGCTCATGGCCACCACTTTGAGCACCTCCTGTAACTGTAGAGGCCAAAGGTAACATCCTAACCTCATGATGCCTCAAATTTAGTATTAAAATATTCATAGAAGTTCCTCTTTTCCTGAAGTGTGTATTTTTGGGCGTTGTTTCTATGGTATGTACCAAGCAAGTGGCACTTACTCAGCACAATGAAACTATGAAAACTTTTTAAAGTAAAAAACGATAAAAGCCTCAAGTCAGTATTGTATTCCCATAGCAATCTGAAGGGTTTCTAATGTTAAGGTAGATGCCGAGTGGGAGCAGTGATGTGCACCTGCAGTCCCAGTTAGGAAGCCAAGGCAAGAGGAAAGCTTATGTGGCCAGTCTGGGGCAATAGTGAGATTCCATCTCGAAAGTCAGTTTGGGGACACTGAATCAAGGGGATAGTTGAGCTACCTCTGGTGCCTCACAGCTTTTCAGGTCACTTGAGGACTGATCCTGAGTGCCTTTCATTTATCCCTTCCCTACCACAGTTCTAGAGACCTCAGCCCCATTCCTCATGACTGGAGAAAGAAATAACAAATACCAAACTGAAGCTTTTCAGAAAAAATATTCCTGCTGTTGAATTTGTTCCTACTTCACTGAAAAACTTGTCCCAAATTACTTGGGTTAAATTTTGGCCTCACATCACAAACTTAAAATTTGGATCCCTGAGCTTTATGTATCCTGATAGGTGGCCAAGCACTGTGGCACTCATCTATGATCCACCACTCCAGAAGGCTGAGGCAGGAGCATCAAATCCAGTCCCATCTTAAGTCAGTTTAGGGACTTGGTGAGACCCTGTTTGAAAGGCTGTAGATGTAGCTCAGTGCAAATGGCTGCGATCCTGTGGAAAAATATTTGCTGCCTCCTGGTGGTTATTAAAATACCAGTCACTCCATGAAGCCTCTGGAAAGGCAAGGTAATAAACGTGATGGCCATAGTAGTTCTATGATCCCTCAACAGAAATAGCAGAACTACAAAGTGCAGTTTACTCCATCCTCTGGAACAGTCTGTGTCCTCTAAGAAGACTGCCTTAGCGTAGAAAAGGAAATGAAAAGTGAGATACAATCCATTTATCAGCAGTGTTCCTGACACTACCTTTAGCTCTGATGGAAGCTGCGGAGTGGGTAGCTATTCACTCAGCCAACCTGATGACAGTGGGCCTAGGTTCCCACTAGGAGGAGAGAAGACACTGGTGTTCACCCACCCAAGAAGTACTTTCCTAAGAGCCACTGTGTCCTCTGTACTCTGCGTGTCTGGGTTGACAAGCTCTCCAATTTACTCACTTGAGTTTCTCCAGCAAGAGGGAAGTTGTGCTTCAACACTGATACCCAAAGCAGCATACAGCCTTTCCCTTGAGAAGAAAATGTGGTTAAGCTATGAACGCACAGCCAGCGCGACAGAGGGTGTCCTCATCATTCAAGCAGTCTCCAGCAGTCTCGACTGGAAAGGGAGATGCTGGGCCAAATGTTTTCACAAAGTAGCCTGAGTTCACTTGGAAAACTGAGGATTAGAGTTGCCCAGTGCTATATGATGAAATTTTGAACAGGGTTCCACTTCTAACTCCTCTCAAATTCCTTTCTGACTTGAGATTTTGTTTGGTACACAAATGTTACTTCTAAAGCCTCCAAAGTTGAAATCAGCCTTTATGGTTAGTAAGAGAATGTCTCTTACACCTATTGTTAAGTAGTACTTCGAGCTTTGGCCACTAGATGGTGCTTCCAGAAAAAGAATGAAGCATCTTTTAACATTTCTGGAGAAGAACAGCTTGGGTATACATGTTAACACGCAGTTGAACACCTCGTTACAAAGCCCAGTGCATCAACATCTTTCACAATTCCCAATTCACATCACTTAAGACCCAGGTGGCCTCTGTATGTGACACTCAGGGAACTTCAGCACTATCAGCCCCACAGAAAGGGCACCTGGATACTAAGTCTCAGATGAAGGGAACAAAATTAGGCATCCTAGTTAACACGTTGTGTGCAGTCCTGTGAAGTAGTCTAAGGATAGAATTCAGAAAACATGAAAACAAAACAGCCAACCCCCTAACCTTACTGCTTTGGGTTTGAGTTTATCAGTCATTAGGACAGAAAATATTAAGTGCACACATTTAGCACCACTTTTACCAGGAAATTCAACTGAGCTCTTCCCACCCTGGAGTGTGTGGGTTTCAGGACACACTAACGTGTAACGTCTTAGTGTAGAATAAACAGAACTCTCCTTATCCATCACTGAAAAGACATAGTATGAGCTCACTGCTCCAGTGTTTAGTTCCTAGAACTTCTAGGTTAAGAACAAACTGCAAACTCTCCCTTTATTCTGACGTTTAAGGCATAACCTCCACAGTATTTATACGTCAGACTTGTAGACCTTACTGTTACACAGGAGGGATTCAGGCAGTAGGAAAATGTTTTAATAGCCCCACACAGTGAACTCCCGAAACAACTTATTCTGTTGGGCACAGGGCACTCCAGACTCAAGGGCAACAGACACACGGCTATGAAAAGTGCAGTGAGTAGGGAACGGGCCTCTTTTGCTGTGCAGTCTGATGTCTTCTGCAGACAAGGGCACATCTTTCTCCTTACTCCACAGGTCTGCTGTGCTCAGCAACCATGCAAAGGGACAGGCACAATTGGTGATGTATGGCTGCATCCCCAACAGCTAACATAGGCCTGGGGCACCATCTAGAATCAAGTATTTGGAAAGCTGGGGGTGGGGAAGGGTGCGTGGATGTAAAGAGCAGGCTGAGGTAGGCCGGCAACCCTTTGGTTCCAGAAGCCATGTGCAGAGTGCACGGCTTAAGCCCAGCTCTTTGTGGCTTGTTATTCCCCTCCAAATACATGTGCGTGCGTGCACATGCTGGGGGACCTCACTGTAATAACCTCTGGTTCTCCTCATCTAGGTACTGTGATTCTCAAAGGAAGTTTCTACAGTGGACTGGACAGCCATCCACTCATAGTACAGCACATAATTTGAGGCGGATGTGGAGTCATTTGTGTCATGTATATGCACGGCGGGGTGCCTTTTAAGACAGGTTCTCACTATACAGCCCAGACTGGCCTCAAATTCACAGGGATCCTCTTGCTCAGCCTCCCAAGTGCTGGGGTCACAGGTGTGCACCACCATGCCCGGCTCTTCTTTATACATTGCTACTAGTCAGAAGAGCAAGGCTGGGAAGGGAAGGGAGTGGACATCTAGGCTCACAATTAGGCTCCTCAAATAAACACGTTCAATCACTTTCCAAGCCCTGGGCACGCAAGCTGCTTGCTAGAGACGGATCTGTAAGCCAGAGACCACAGGGCACAGGACTAGACACCATGGTCCTAAGAATTCCAGCACAGCATCTTCCAAGTGAGCCCAGGCACCCTCACTGTCAAATCTCCAGGGTGGAGAACTGAGTCCTATGCAGCACAAAAGGTTTTCTGTGGAAAGGTCATCTAACAGTGAAAATTATTAATTTGGTTTCTCACACATTAAAAATTGTTTGCTGATTGTTTACTGATAATCTGTGCCACTTGTAGACCAAAAAAACTATCGCAGCTTCCTCTGATAAGTACTGCAGCTGAAGAAAAGCTGATGTCAAGCATATATGGACAATTTCCAATTGCCCTATCTCAGCACACATTGATCAGGTCACATCTCTCCTTTGATCATGTGCTAATCTCAAGTAGCCCTAGACGATTCTTGTATATGAAGGCAGAATCTATATCAGAAAACAATATTTTTTAATAAATGAAAAATACAAAAAAAAAAAAAAAATACAAGTTTACCATCAGCCAGGTATGGTGGTAGACAACTGTAATCCCAGCACCCTGGGAAGCCGGGGCAGGATGATCAGCAAATTCAAGCACAGCCTCAGTAACTAAGCAACTTAAGACCCCGTTTCAAAAAACCAGAACAAAAAAGGACTGGGGATGTAGTTCCTTGCTGAGTGCAAAGGCCCTAAATTCATTCCCCAGTAACACACACACACACACACACACACACACACACACACACACTCGTTACCAATGGAAAGATTCCAATGACTCAATTACCCTTTTCTAGTCTAGCTTGAGGTCAGTCAGCGATGGCTTCACGTCCTTAGTTTGTCAGCCAGCAGAAGTTGAGAACTTACCAGTTCTGTCAACACTTGAGCAAAGGAATCCCCTGTGGTAAAAAACTGAATCCATGGCAGTCTACGCAGAGGGCCAGGCACCTAGCCAGGGGCGTACAAGGCCAGCTTCCCTTAGGTCTCCGAGCACAAGTTGACTGCCTGAAAGAGGCTGCTCCTTGAAGTTGCTAACTCTCACCTTTCCTCTAATCAGGACTAATACAGAAAACAGAGCTGCAACATCAGGTCACCTTTCTCTGAAAAAAAAAAAAAAAAAAAACCACTCCCTGTTAAAGCTTAGCCTGAAACGCCCCCAAGTCTTGGGTTCAGAGATGGGGATGCCGTGAGGTGATCATGAGGGCACTGGCTCACCCGCAGATCAACCCCGATGTGCTCAGGGCTGAGTGGGCTCTAAGCTGGTCCTGGGGGTGGGGCCGCTGGAGGGCGGGCCATCCCCAGCCCTTGGTCCTTCTCATGCTAGTTCTTTTCCTTCTGCTACCTGGTTGCCGAGGAGTGCAGCTTTCCAATGCCAAACCTTCTGCCACCACATCTCTGCCGTGGAGCTGCCCAACCATGGACTCAGACTTCTGAGAGCGAGCCAAGCAGGGCTTCCCTCCTTTTCGTTGTTTATGCCAGTTTATCCCAGCAGTGAGGAAGTGACTCACACACTACCTTTTCATTTCTAAATACTGCTCCCAGCACTTGAGAGGCTGAGGCCAATCTGAGCTTTAAGCAAGTTCAAGGCTGGCCCGGACAAGATAGCAAGACCCTGTCTTAAGGGGGAGGATTGTTTTTAAAATGAGTGTTAAAATAAGGTTGATACTGAAATATTAAAAATGAATTTGAGCATACTATAAGTAGTGACTGCAGTGGTTCTGATAAACCTACGTATTTCAATTACGAGACTGGTAATGTGTCAGTCTGGCATCCAGGAGTTGGTGTTTCCCACCCGGCTCTGGTCACAAGACTTCAGCGGTGCGTGGTGTGAAGGGACTGGCTCTTAACTTGTGTTTGGTCATTCAGTGGCACAGATGAGCCTGACTTTACACACATTTACTATCTCTATGAAGAGCTGCTTGGCGGCATACTTATCAAACTGCGCTAAGGAACCTCCTTCCAGCATTCAAAGCAGCAGGCTGGCGCTTCATTACCTCACTGCCCAACAGAAGTGTGAGCTGCCTTTCCTCCCGCTCCTAAGGGTCTTGACCAAATGCAACTCATGTTGTGAGTAGTATTTTTATCATCTACCCACTATGGAGCTAAAAAATGAAGATGTTTGCTATAGATGCTACACTTGGAAGATGATGACTTAAAACACACAACCATACAATAGATTGAAAATTGTCCCTTGACTATAAAAACTGTTCAAGGGTTAGCTGTCACTTGCAGTAACCTAGCCTTGAATCTGACTCATCATAAACAGATCAGCAAACTCACTGGACTGGCGGAAGTATGTGTGGAGTGGCATATTTTAAGTGATCTGGTACGAATGTTTACTTCCAGCAAGGTTTTGCAGACATTGAAGAGAAAGTCACCTCAGTCACCTCAAGAAGAAAATGCGAGTCCGAGCCATTGCTAATGATGCTGGTCTGGGAGGGGCTCTTACGTACTTGCGTGAGGTTCCTTTCCCATGGCCCAGGACACATGGGTCCTAGTAAAAAACCATGGATGCAAGCTAAGCAAAGCTTCATGAGAAATAAAGACAGGGATGGGCCAGAGTTATTTTAAGGTATCTTTAAATATAAATTGAGCCTCAAAGGCAGAAAAAAATCATCTACCCAACACTGTCATATTTTAAACATGATTAAGACTTGTCCATCAAAATCCTAGTAACAAAAAGGGGTATTCTTTTGTTGTATCTAAGGTGAGGAGAGCATATTAAACAGTTTTGTGACTTAGACTTCAGTTACATTCCCCTTGAAGTGAGCTTAAAATTACCATAATTTTGGTACCAAAAGTTTGAATAACCAATACAAAAAGCAGAATCCCAATTCCAGAACAACTTATATGTAGGATGCAGGTAACAGAGTCAAATAAAACCACAATGGTTCCCGAATTTAAAGGAAGGATGCCCACTTCTCTCTCTCAAGAGGCAGATGGTCAGCTGAAAAATAAAGACACTGTATCAATAAGACACTCCAAAGAAAAACTTGCATCCATCTCTGTGCATGCGTATCAAATATAAAGAAAAAAATCCCAAACACCAAAACAACCCACAAAACTAACAGAACGAAGGAAAATGTTGCCCATATCTCATGACTGACGGTGCTGAGAAGCCCACCTGGGCTGTTCAGAGCAGTGCTCATGGGACAGAAAGGACACTAGTTACCATGGATCCATCTGCCCCAGAGGTGGTGGCCACCTCAAGCTAGGGCACAGGATACGTGCTCTCTTGAGTCCACAGGTTCTTGATGAGCAGCTTCAATGAATGGCAGCTAAGCAAGAGGATCCCAGCATGAGACCTGGGTTTGGGCCCAGCTCCCTGTTTCACTCAGTTTCCTTTCTCCTTTTAATTGCTACTATGTTTTGGTGGTGGAGTCACTTCGGTAGCCACCGCGGCCAGTGGTTTGTAAACAGACATTGACAAATACAAACAGCAGTGCATTATTTGACCCAGACTTTAAAAGAACAGGAGGCGATGGTGGAAATGAGGTAACTCTTCCCCAACACGTGTGACAGACAGCTCCTGCTCTTCTAATGCTCTATGTCCATTAGGAGAGAGTAGGGCTTGTCAACGGGATGGTTACATAAAGAAGAAGCTACAGAGAGAAAAAAGAAAGGTTCAGATTCAAATTTGCTTCTTAAAGCCTTAAAAAAAGTGCTTCTCTACAACAAGCTGTGGAGGAACAGTGGTGTGTCAGTTAAAGGGACGGCGTCACCAAGCGCAGCAGGAAGCAGAGCACTGAGGGGCCCCGTGGCAGAAGGGGGTCCCTCCCCAGGGAACGACCCTCTCCCGCACCAAGGCTCGGGGGCAGGCAGGCTGGGGTGGCAGAGGCAGTGTGGGAGGGACAGGACACCACAGGGCGTGTCTTTGGAGAAGCAGGAGCGTCCGAAGTCCACGCACCATACAAGGTGAAAATGCAGAAGCACTGCCATCCCTCTCCCGACCCGACATTCCCGACAGGGTAAGCACGTGTATGTACAAAGGCGTATCAAGCAGTGACCAAAAAGAACTCACAAAAGGGCACACAATACGACATTTGGGTAAAAATATATTTCCCCGCGTTTCGTCTTGGCACTAGTGATACGTGTGCATAGATGACCTATTCGCCCTGCTACCTTAACATACACCAAACCACCCAGCAGGCTGCTGAGGGACTACTTCCATACTTGAAGAAATAAGCAATAATACGCTTCACATCAATACAATTGTTTTAGTTCTTAAAAAAAGACAAGCATCTAACATGCAGCTTACATATATGACAATTCTGTATTAACACTAAAAGTAGATTACACAACAGTTTCAGGAACACTGGTTATTTTCAAACAGCAAAATGACAAGGATCTATAACTACAGTTTAAGGCATATCAGCATATTTTAAAATTAAGAAATAGACAAAAGTTATAATGCTGTTCACAGCTTACTTTTCAATTTATTTTTTAAAAATCCCCTTCATACCTACATACAAACTAGATTTTGTAGGTCATACTCCTGCTAAAGAGTCATCACGTATGTGTCCTGCCAAGAGAACCAGGACTTTTGGAAGCTGAGATTTGATAATTCCAGCACCTGCAAATGGCAAAGCCAAGGGATCGGAATGGACAGTTCTGGTGGGAACACACAGAGACAGCAGGACACGGCTTGGGACAATTGGAAAGCCTGACTCAACACTGCGTGTGAAACATGAGTATGTCAGGAAGGTGAGGTAACCGCACCTGTTCCTGCGAGGTGCTCAAGAAAGAGAGAATGTGTTATTGCTGGTGAGTCACAAAGCAGAGAAGAAGGATTTTCAGAAGCCTGTGCCCAGCATTACATGAAACAGTTCCCCGGTTGACAGGCCCTTTGGGAGAAAACCTGGACTAACTGCTCTATAGCCTAAACTGGGAAAATAACCCTCTGAACTGCCAATAAATTCTCATACATGCTTCTCCATCATCATCTATGCCATTGTTACGGGTATCTGCAGTTCAGAAGAAGCAGTCATTATGCTTGAACAAAGATACAGGCAGAGGCCGGCCAGAGCCTCTGGCCAAAAAAAAGTGACTGTGGTTCTGACTTCTTGGTTTTCTCAGTAGAAGGAGGCTGCTTTCCCTTCATTACCTAGTCAGAATCCGGGGCCCCCTGTGATACCCCTAACACTGCAGAGCACAGGCTGGGATCAGTCGTTTCTGACTTCACAATGAGATTAAAAAGTGGAAAACAAACTGTGAAAAATACATAAATGTGGCCATTTTGGACATATTTAGCTTTTGTTTAAAAGCTACAGACTATTCTTTCTCTACGTACCTCCAAAAAAAAAAATCTTTCCATCCCATTTGATTTTAGAAAGTCAGAAAGATCCCAAAGATTTCTTACTACTGTACTTACATGCAAAGGCGAAAGCGCATCCAATTAGATTTGAGGGGACCATTTATTCCGTGCAGAGCCAAGGACTACTGTGAAAAAAGGCACAGATACAGAAAGAAAAAGCAGCAGTAACAAACCAATCGGGGCTGGGGTGCAGGGGCAGAGAAAAGTTCAGAAGCAACACATTTTTTTAAAAAGCTTCTATATTTCTTTTGACTTTTTATTCCCTGACTCTCCATAAAATTTATTTTGCTATGAAAAATTTAATGCAAAAAAAAAAATCAATAATCTTGGAGTCGAAAAGTCAGCTGGATGCTTTTTGTTGCTAAGCTTGTTTTTAAAAGCTTTTAGGAATGCAAGAGATGGAATTTAAAAGTGTATTTTCTATTACAAGGCACAAAAAATGCTCACACAAGCAATGACTAGAACAAGCATACGACACAAGTTCAAGCTTCTGTGAGGTGCCCAGCATAAGAATGATCAGCCCGGGTGAGAGCAGCATGCCGGCCAGCACTTGACCGCTCCACAGCTAGGACTTACAAAAGCAGAAGCGAAGACAAAACACGGACCTGACGGTTCCTCCACTCTGAGGACCACAGTGCTGCCGCTGCTGGTCTGCAGTCTCTACTCCAGTTAGTCTGCACGTCAGGGAATGCAGTTCTTGCTTTGCCTAATGAAGACTATGCTATGGAGGACCATCCCTTCTTTCTCCTATGACTGGGGCAAACAGAAGGAAAGGAAAAAATCTTTGCTAGAATCAGATGGAAAATTAATTTTTTAAAAAGTGTATTTTGAGGGAGAGGAAGTGCAGTGTATCCTCACCTGTTCACCTGTAACTAGCAAAGGTCAGGCTGCAAGGGCAGAGGTAAAACACTAGGTTCATGAGAATGTTACCCTCTCTAGTAACACGGGAGGTGCTCCAGAGAGGAAGCAGAGGCCTCTGTTGCAGTGGGATCAAGCATTAGGAAGGGGAAGCACAGAAGGGAGATTAAACATGCCCTTCTCGATAGCAATCAGGCAGCAAGCGTGTGTCCTGGCACCCGAGTCAGGCCTAATCCTGGGTGAGGTGATGGCCCTGGGACACAAGAGTAGGAGGAATGATGCGGGGCCAAGACAGGAAAATCCCTTCAAGATACCTGGAGTCCAAACATCAGCAAGAAAGCTAGGAGGCTGAATTTTGCCTTCTTTGATTCATGCTATGTTCCTTCTTGTAGTTGGACCTTAAGTTGACAAGGTCCTCTCAAATTTGCTGCTGATGACACAAGGTTTATAACAAATTTTCTATTTGAAGTATTTGCAGCACTTTTCTCATGATTAGTGAAAAACCATTAAAAGTGCCCATAGCCTGGAATCAGTCACAAGGTCTTGCCCCTCTGCCCGCTGAGAGCAAATGTGGATGTGTTTATGAAAGACTCCTACTGAAAGCAGTGGGCAAGCTGTGGGGCGTCCACTGTCCTTGGTGGAAGAGTCTTCTACCAAGCAACAAGATCTCAATCTGTGAGAGGATCAAGGTTACACTAGTAAGCAGGAGCACGGTCACAGCAATGTGGCCAGGCTCTGACAGGCGGGTGTTCCGATGAAGTCTCAACCCGACAGTGGACAGAATGTTAGTGTAAAATGAAAAATTCATGCATGAATAAGTCATCTACAGTGCTACTGCCATCCTGCCTACCTACTAAGCTACCTTACTTTGGGGATGGTGTGGAAGACAGACACAGAGTTCAGGGACTGTGCAATCATGGAGATGAATAATTAAAAAATGCAAGTTGTTCTCAGGGCTATTGAGGGTTTTAGTTCAGCTGCTGAGGCGGTGAGAAGTTTTCACGTCAGACGTACAGGCAGCATTTTACCCCACTTTCCTCCGTTCAAAGCGACATACAAGTAACAGGCATGCGTCCTGCTGCCACTGGGAACAGGCATAAAAGGCAACCATTTGCAACCATTTACTTTCCAGAAACAAAGTCCAGCTGCACAGAGTTTTGGCTGTCATTCCCTTGTGCTATCGTTTTCCACCACCCAACAACATTCAGCAAAACGAGTTAAGAGTTACTGGTGTTTGGGGAAGGGTAAATAACAAAATAAAATCAAAGGACACGGATGGCAGAGGTACACTATTACTGCAAAAGCAGGTGAATGCGGGAACATCCTTGGCTTGCCAGGCTTTATGTGAAGCTTGCACTGCAAGTTAAAAAACAAAACAAAAAAGTTAGAAATAATAATAAATTAAAAAGAAAGGAGCGCCAGCACCAGCATTCAGTGACAGTGAATGCTCATGCAATGATTATGGAACTGACAGAAATTGAAACCAAAAACTTGAGTAAGCTATTCTACATGACAAGCAAAAGCAAATTCTTAATATTTAATTACAAAACACGCGGTTAGTTTCCATTTGCATGAAACTTAGAATTCACAAGTGACTTCTTAAAACCACTGTATATTCCCACAGAAGGAATTCCTGTTTTGTTTTTTGTTTTCTCAAGTAACACAAAACCATTATCTCTTAGGTGTGGGTATCACATGGATATTGACTAGGGGCATCATCTTGCATTTCTGAACAGCTGAAGGAATGAGAGAATAAATATACCATAATGCCTTTGAATAAACAACTGGGAGAGGTCTAGAGTAGCTTGGGGATGGAATAAAATGAATGGAGCACATACTATTAATCTAGCAAGGAAGGACCCAAAAAAAGAACAATTGTTATATGGTATAGCTATGGCAATGCCAGGAGCTTTCTCCCTCTTTAAAGTACAAAGCAATCAAGGCCAAATCCAAGATCCATATATTTGTAACCAAATGCAAAACATGCAATTTTATTCCTTCGCAAAAATTTTAATTTAAAAAAAAGGCAAGGAGACAGTTGTGTAAACTTTAGTTTTTATATGTCAGTTTTGTTTTGTTTCCGTTTTTTTGAGACCAGGTCTTGTTCTACAATTCAGGCTGGCCTTGAATTCGCTATGTAGCCTGGGCTGGCCTTGAACTCGAGGTGATCCTCTTGCCTCAGCCTCTGGACTGCTGGGGTTACAGGTGTGTGCCACCATAGCCAGCTAGTTTAAATGATAAATTTGAAAGCTTTCTTTGGGGTAGATGCATCTTAACCAGGAAAGCCTGCTGGCAATTGTGCAAACTTGTTTTCAGAACAGATGAATACTGTCCAGTGGACAACATATGCTTGGGCAGTCCCTACACTATGGCACAGCTGCAAGGGAGCAAAGGGTCTTGGTGGCCAGAGATGGCAGGGATGGGGTCCAGCTAATGGCAGTGCCAGGGTTAGTTCTACCTTGTCTGTAATCTTAGGCAATGTTATACATTCTCATGCTACTACAAGTCAAGGAGAAGTATCAGCCTTACCTATGTTAAAAAAAGAAGCATGTCATTAGAAGAGAAAAGAAAGAATTTAAAACTATTAGAAAAACTAAGCCTTGAGGTGGAAGCACAGCAGGTGAATGAATAAGCTTCTCCGTAATCTCTCTATCTCGAACAACGCCAGCTCCCAAGAGGCCTACGTGGTTATTCTAGCACCTACAAGTTCCGGTCAAGGTGCTGGTCTGGTTACCCTGGTTACTATCTTTCTGTTATCCTCTCTAACCAAAACCTGCCATTGCCACTGGCAACAGAAGGGTGATTTTTTTTTTCTTATACTTTAAGCCTCCTGCTAGCCAATGCTTTCATTAAGAAGTGTGGAAAAGGGTAAAAAGGTTTAAAAAGTGGTGCAAGATATGTGTGCCACTGTCAGGCACAGAACCTGGCTGACTACTGTGACATCTAATGCTATTAATAATGAGAATATATAAATAAAGCTAAAATAGAATTCACACTAATTCACATAAACTTTAAAAGCATTATATGTATATTAGGAAAAAAGTAACTGAACATGTTCAAAAGTGCAAGGAAAAATCTCCCTACGCTGGGAAGTTTGTTGCTAGATTTTTTTTTAATAGAGGCACAATATTGATCAGCTCTGGAAATTTTTATTGTGTAAAGGCACATCCAGCATTCATAAAATACTCATTTAACACTGCTGGTCCTTTATAAATGTTTTTAGCTTTAAAACTTGTATCTTTATGCATAAGAAAGAAAAACCCAGACTTTGGGTTTCCTAAGCTGTTAGTCAGCAGCTTTTATTCTTTCATTCACAAAACAGACATATGTATATACACACCACCCACACACTAACACCCACATACCATCACCACCACCTGTTTTTCCCTCAGGCTAGTTTGGATCAAGGGTGTAATGCTAAATGGTTTTCACTTGTCTTCCTGGAAGAGTCACTGAAATCTGGATCTCTGCACTGAGAACCCCATAAGTCAGACGCTCTTCCAATATGAGCTGTGAAGCATTTTCTTGCACTGGACATCAACTAGATGATTGTTTCTCTCTGAATTAATGCAGAACATCCAACTCTGGGCCCTCAGATTCCTTCAGTTACTTGGGTCTGAACCAACCCAAATTAAAACCACACTACCTCGACACCAACTACTGTTACTGCTTTGAGAAGCTGGCTACTCTTCTGCTGTCTTTCCCATGACCTCAGAGATTGGGAAGTCAGTGTGTAAAGCATGGTTTAATCTCTGCATGTTGCAGCCTGTATTTTCATCTTTGTTACAGGCAATGTCACAGATTCCTTATAGATGAGTCTCATGCGCACTGCAGGACCAAGTGGACACAGCAGTGCACACATTTGTCTGTGTAACATGTGAGGCTCAAGCCTACATGCTGTATTTTTAAAGATTGTGATTCTTTGCCTACTTGAACGTCAACGTTTTGTTCTTTACTCTCCCTGGAGTCTTGGCATCTAAGGGTGAAGAACAGGAACCCTGAAAGAAGCTGAGAGTTAAGCAAAGGAGGGTGGCATCTGGGGGTTCATTACTGGGCCTTGTGATGGTGTGCTTCAAAGGTCTCTTGTCACCCACCATGTTTACATGTTTACACCCACCATGTTAACCAACAGCTGCTGTCATAAAACTGCACTCTAGCCCTCAGGGTTACCCAAAAGAGAGCTTTCAAATCCCAGGAGAATGTCAAGGAAGCTCATACTTTCTCTGTTCAGACAGCTGCTACTGGAGTATCCCGAGAAGTGACCCCCTCAAGAGCAGACCCTGATCCTTTGGCACATGACATCAAGGATGTCTTTTAAATATTTTGTGTGGGTACCGGTGTGGCTCGAGGGGTGGCAGAGTTATGTTAAGGGCATTTTGGTTGCTTTTCATAATAAGATAATTCAACATCTTGTTGAACTGAGACCCTGTGGCCACTAGCAGCCCTTATAAACACTTCCGCTGGGAACAAGACTCCGTAACTGGCTCTCCATGCCTGACAACACAGAGTAGGAAAAGAAACTTAACCATTGTGTGCTTAGGTGCTCTTTACCAAGAATCGTGAGGATTATCTTCAGAGGCACTGAAGAGGAATAAACCTGTCTTCTCTGAGGAGTCCTAGTGTTGGAGCAGAAGATGCTATAGGAGATGACTAGTACTCCAGTCCTGATGCTTGATCAACATGGTGAAGTCTTACAAATTTATCTTTGTGTACCTTTTAAAAATACTTTAAAAACCTTTGTCATCTCCCCTGTACTATAGAGAAAATAACTTGCTTTTATATTTCTGGTAATAGACCAGTGTCCAGTCTGTAAACAGGAAAGTAGACATGCAAGAAGAATATACTTTTAGAGCTCCCCAATAAATAGGGAGACACCTGCTTACTTTTTCTTATCCTTGTCCTTCTTGGTTTGCTGGGCCCCAGACTGCTGGGCCTGGGATTGTAGTAGCTGAGCTGCTGCTTTCTTCTTCTGGAAGTTGTTCACCTCCTCCTCCAGCTCCTTCTTCTTGTCTTCCACTTTCTTCTTCTCTTCTTGGTGTGTTCGCTTTAGGAGGTCAAACTTCTCGTGAAGCTGGAGAAAAAAAGAAAAAGACAGGCTCATTGAGGGCATGAAAATCTTTCTGATGCACAGCTATGTGGACCTGTTAAAAAACAAAACACACATTATGTGGCTGCATTTGCTTCCATTTCAGAAGTGAAGTGTCGCCTAGCAGCTTACTGCAGGGGCACCGCTATGATGCTGAGAAGCATTCATCTGTCCAAGGCTTGTCACCTGAGTTCCTCAGAACTAAAACTTCCTGAATAGTCTTTCCAATCATAATATATATTCATGATATATATTTTAAAAAGCATGAAGAAGATAAAAATTATCCATGATTCTAACAAAAAAGTCACCCTCATGGTAAAAGTGGTTCTGTATTTCTGGTCTTTCTTTCAACATGTATAGCCATATTTACTTATAGATATATACATACATCTGTATGGCCTTTAGCACATTGTATTTAAATAGACCATAGTAATGGGCTGGGGCTATAGCTCAGGCGTAGAACACTTTTGCCCAGCACGCATGAGAAGCTGTGGGTTCGATGCCCAGCATGCATGAGAGGCCGTGGGTTTCATGCTCAGCACGCTTCAGAGGCCATGGGTTCGATGCCCAGCATCGGGGAGGGGAATCATAATCAAAAGCAGAAACATGTCATGCCGAGATAGCGGTCATTGGCACGTCTGACACTTATTTCAGTATAAGGGAAATGTTGAGACAGGTTTGCCATTCGTGTATTTTATATATATATATATGTTACCTAAATTACCTCTGTGTTGAGTTTAATTGCCTGAATTGTTTTCTACACTCTAGTATTGCATTGGCAAGCATATTAAAATTGGGTCTGCCTTTTAAATAGAAAACCAAGCAAATTCAAATCATCTTGTGTGTGACAAAAACATAGAGAGAAGCACTCAGCATCTCAGGGAGGGGACTGCGCCTGCCCCATTTGAGCGCCAGAGCTCCACAGGTCCAGAAGACCAGTTGTGAGGCTAGTGTGCGTGTGATTAAGTGGGGCTGGATGGGTTGCAAAACATCCTCCTATGCTTGAGACCTATACACTAAGTCTCCTATAGGAAGTAATCAATGGTTTTTCATCTCCCAGAGATAAATTAGAAACATAAATACAGCACCAGAACTCTTCATCTTTCTCTGATTGCGGTGTGTTGGACACACTTTTGTACTGAAGAGAGGTGTACACACTGTGGCTACTGGTACGGAGACTCTGTTGTGTAGGATCATGGACCAGCCTAGTAGGAAAAAGGATGAAAGGCAGCAGACAACTAAACCCACGGCACAAAGGAGCGCACACTGCTTCCGACATCCTCTGGGTTCGGACACTGGGACCCAGCTTTAGGGCCGGCAAGAAGCCTGGTGTAGGAAGGTCGGAGAACTCAGGCTAGGTGAGAACCTGGCTATGTCAGAGGCTTTGAGTCACAACAGTAACTGCCACAATAAGCTTTGGTGTGTTTCAAAATAAGCAGTTTATAGTTTTGTAGGGAATTTTTCTTTAAGCAGAACCTGTTTGTATATGAAATAAGGAATTTATGAAGGGAGCTATAGTCATTATTAGTCATAATTTTATTACTCATGGTTAATCTGTATGTGTGGTAGGCTTTTAAATTTTCCACTAGTTCTGAGGTTTTATGATGTAGGTAGATCTACATACACGTAGCAATAAAATCTAGATTCTGATTCACGGGTTCAAGTTAAAAAAAAAATGGAGGGAAGGAGCAAATGCTTACTCAATAATTCTACACCTTTACCCACTATCCACTTGGTTCTTAAAGGTGACAGCAAAGAAAGCTCAATTTTCTTTTCTCTGCAGTAAAACCACCTTAAGTATTTAGCTATTTCACCTTTCAACTTCAGCATTCTTTTCAAAAATAAAAGACAATGAGAAAGTTATTTACTTGATTTCATTTAGAAAACTAGTGAGCTATAGGCGAGGTACTTGAGATGCTCATTACTGGCTGGAAGAAACAGACATCACATGCTCACTTTCGCTCAGATACACAACGGGAAGACGGTTACTATGGTAAGCGTTCACATAACCTTCGAGAAGGCAGTGAACCTGGCCTGGCAGTGGGGCTGAGGGAGGTTTGGAGGGACACTGGACAGAGGGTACATGCTGCAGGGGTGAGGCCTGGGCCCAGACTTCGCTCTGGACTGTTGCACACTGACAGTGTTGCAAGGGCCTGTGCTGCACGGCCCGTGGAGCTGGCTGACAGACGATGATAATAATAATGGTCCCAGAATCCTCAATCTTATACTTTAAGACTTGTAAACTGTGCAAACATAGCACTGTGAAGACTGTATGATCCATTCTAGAAACCTAAGATATAATTTTAGTCTTGGCTACTAACTAGGAATGTGACTGCAAAAATTACTTTATAGTTTATCTCCTCTAAGATGGGGCTACGAATGTCTGACCTGCTTTTCCTGCCAGCTCAGTGCGCTGCTTGCAATAAGCTGTACATGGAAAGCCCTTGTACCGGCAAGAGATGCTATGAAATGCAGGGCACTCATAAAGCGGCCTTCTTGAAGCTTCTGTGCCTTAAGGAGGACAGACTTCTTACCTCTTTCTCGGCCTCTTTAAGTTCAGCCTCTTTCTCTTTCACTCTCATAACGAACATTTGTCTCATTTCTTCTTCTTTCTTCTGCAGCTCCCCCAGGAATTCATTCCTTTTAGCTTCATACGTCTCCTGAAGACTTCAAAATCCATAAACCAAGGACAGGGTCATGAAATTGCACAATAAGAAATTTCAGTTCATATCATCTCTACCCCTCTACTTCCAAAAATAGATGGAGCTGCTGTTTACCATATAAAGCTCAGATAAAACGACACTGTTTCATTTATGCTGTGAAAAGAAAAAGAAATACATCAAAACCTAGAGTGAGTCAGGAAGCACAACGCAGCAAGCACTGATGTGTACAGTGAACCAGGCGGGAGTCATCTGGTACACAGCCAGGAGGGGAAAGCTTGGGCTCAAATATGACTGGAAGTGTAGAAGACAGAGAGTGAAATGGACGGACACACGGTCTGACCAGAGTTGGAGTTCTGGTCCCACCACTGACTCACCCTGGGAACACACAGCCTCTCCACGCTTCCTGTGTCTAAGACATGGACATGGAAACACTCACCTTCCAGGGATGTGATTACAAGAATCACATGCAGGGAGAAAGAGCACAAAGCATCTGACCTCTAATCAGTGCTCAATAATACTTCCTTGCTCCTCTCGTCTCCCTCTAGCCCCTAATCTAGTGCACACACTACAGACACAAGACTACTTCTAAGTGTAGTGTAGGAAATTGGTATTTAGTTGAATTACTAATTGTAAATAGAGCAGAGTTTTACTTTCATTTTAAAGCTCATTCTCTTCCTGTCCACAAAACATAGAATCTGATATTTTACCTTGAATGCCATGACTCAGTATTATCTCTAAATCAGAACAAAGATACTTACACAGAAAGCACCTTTGGCCACACAATCAAAAACAATAAACAACAACAGAACATGCCATCACCCAACCCCCCACACACTACAGACAGTTGCTGGTGTTTTGTAAGGGGCTACCGTTCCTGTTCTCATTCTTTTTCTATCTCCGCTTCCCTAGAACAACAGTTGTACAGTAACATGAATCTGATGCTTCTATAATCAACGCCTGCACTTATACAATCAACACTGCCAACTCCACCTACTTTTGGACAGTCATGTGGCTTGACTTTCCAGAGTTCTATGCAGTTTTCACACTAGCCCACAAGAAGAAACCAAGTTGGACGATGACAATGTTGCCTAATATTAGCAGCAATATTTGGGCTTCAAGATCTGTGATACTGATTGTGAGACAGAGGATTGTGTGCATAATAGACTATAAAACAATTCATGAGTCTGATTTTCTTTGTCAGCTTGTAGTAAATTCTTCATGTTATTCAGGTCAGAATTACCAAAGGCCAAGGATAACTTACTATAACTTACTTGCTCCTGCTGTGAAATCTTACAGAAAACTCAGCTGCTGCTGACTTTAGTATAACAAATGTATCTCTCTCCTCTAACAAGCAACAGGATGCCTCTCACAGAAACAATGCCCAACATGTGATCCAGAGATCACCACCTACCACAGCTTCAAGAGAGGACCTCAGAACAAGGGTTTCCAAAGTCGCAAGAGAGGAAAGAATGCTACGTATGCTTTCCCTGAGGGGATGCACACGGGTAGTGAGCCCAAACCCAGGAGCACATGAAGACCACCCGGGTGCACATCAGTGTGCTCTTCTAAACGCAGACTCCTAGGCCTGCTCCCAGAGCCGATTCAGACTGTCTGGCTGCCATGAAACAGTCTGTTCCGAAATGCTTCCCAGGTGATTCCCAAGCTAACCACTGCTTGTCTTAATGCTCGGAGAAGCTTTTCAGTAAAGGAACCTATTTAAGGTGATTAATGTAGATCTCTATCTTGGTTACTTTTTTCTCGCTGCTGGGACAAAATACCTGACGCCCAAAATTAAGGAAGGAAAGGTTTATTTCACTTACAGTTTGTGGAGGTTTCAGTCCATACTTGGCAGATTATAAGGCAGAGTGGCACATGGCAGAGAGCTATAGCTCAGGGTGGCAGACAAAAGCAAAAGCAACAAGCATACACCAGCGAGGAATGGGGGAGGAATGGCCTCAAGCACTCTTTTCCTCTCCCTTACATATGCAAACTATCCACCCCAGGGCGGGTGCAGCTCACACACCCATAATCAAACTCTAAAAGCTTGCCCCATGGCCGCATGAGGCTTTGGGGGGACACCCAAACACAAACCATAACAATCTCCTGATGGTTTGATGATGAAAACTTTTCAGGTAACTCACACTGCCACCTTAAACACTGAGAACTGTTAACATGATTCTGCTTTATCTAGTCCCAACTACAACCTCATTTATGCTCAAGGTTCTAGAGGTATGTGTTCAAACTTTGTACCATGACCCAGTCGTCAATGCTGACCAATGTACTAAAAAGTTGAAGGGAACAGCAGAAAACGTGCCAAAGTGCAGTGCGGACCACAGGAGGTTGTTACTGGAGGAAATGTACACTGTGGACCATGACGGAAACATCACCCAAGCTAGAACGCCCTTGTCCTGTGGAAAACCTAAGCGGCAGCTTCGCCACTGGCAAGACTGGCCCCAGGCATGGGCCAGAGGAGGAAAATGTGCTCAACAAATGCTACTTCTTAATTTCACCACTGTACCCGAGGATGTGAGCCAACTTTTGAATTCTGACATGGAAAATGATAATGACAGCAGCATATAAGAAAGACACTTTACACCAAAGTGTCAAAACTACATTCAGTTACCTACAAGTAAATTCACACAACTACAGCACCCACAGTCATATCCCCAGGGTTCTGCCAGCTGAGCTGAACACCAGATATCAGGGTCCTCAGCAATGTTTCCAGGCACTGAACAGCAGGTCAGAAGTAACTGGTTCTGTTATCCACCCACAGATATCTCAAGTAATTACATCATTTGCAGATTTAGTTCTCCAAAATTAATTTTAAATTACAGTTCTTAGCTTCCTTTTCTAAGGGAGGAATCTGCAATTGTTCTATGAGGTTTCAGGTAGGCCTAAACCTGAGGACCTTATCTTCTAGTTTTCTCATGAGAAGCCCACAGAAGAGGAAGGTTTTGCTTTTATAGAAGAGAAGGAAAATGAACACAGACCCTTTGCTCTGTCACAATCCTCTCCCTGTTCAAATCTGGTGGAACCATCCACTGGAGGACAGGCCAGAGTGTGAGCATTCCCACCAGGATTTTTATGGAGCAATTTCCACATGTGAATTCATTTAATCCGAACAATAGCCAATAAGGTAGGCACCCTTCCCCTGACATTTCAGAGATGAAGAAACTGGGACACACAGGTATTTAGTAACCTGTCCAGGTCACCGCACAAAGGGACAGAGACACACTGCTTCGCTCAGAGGGACACTCTACTCCTCCCCTGTACAGCCAGTGAACCACAGCCTGGATGCCCCTGAAAACTGCCAGTGACTCGAGGAGGTGGAGGACCCGGGGAGGAGCTGTGGGAGCACAGGCTGCTGGGGAAAGGGTAACTGGCTAAGGAGACAGGGTTAGCCTCTGCTGGGGGCCGGGGAAGAAGGGGCCTGAGGCTGGGCCAGCGGGTGCTGCTGAGGTTGAGTGGAAGTGGTTCCAAGGCCATGGGGCAGCAGCTGGGGAGGCACAGAGCAGGAAAGAATAGGCCGACAGCTGGGTGCAGATGTACTCTGCCAAAAGCTGGTGACAACAGAATTCTGAACTCAGGCAGGCTCCAGGACACTAGGGCCCCAGGGATTCACCCGCCTGTGGTCTCCTCATGTCGTCCCCTCCTGTGTGGGGCACAGAGGTAGTGGCCGTCACTTTCTGCTTATGAAAATGATACAGACACGAGGGGGCCCAGAGGGCACAGGGAAGACGCTGCATGCGAAAGGGAAGCACAAACTTCACGGCACAACCAGACCAGAGCCTTTTACTTTCAGAACGTAAAGCATCTTCAGCCTTTCCAATATACTCCTCCACGCTTACCCTAAATTTGTATGTTTTTTAAAAAAAAAAAAAAAAACAATGAAAAATCAAAAAGCTCTTCCAAGGTCATTTAGGAATAGTGACTTTGCAGCTGAAATCACTCGTGGCTTCTGCTTGTCCTCAGCTCTCCCACCCTTCGTTCAAGGCCGTTACTTCGGTGTGGCCCCAGGTGCACAGGAAGCGTCTGCAAGGGAAGGTCTGAGTCCTTTTAAAAGTAGTGGCTTCCAGGCCAGGGAAATCTGTCTACCCGGATGTGTGATTCAAAGCCAAAGGATCTTTTGTGTTCCAAATGATCCTTCCCACCATGGGAGGGGAGCTGAGTCTGAGTGAGTGTCACAGGGGAAATGAATTTTCAAAGCATGCTGTATGAGACTCAGTTTGTGGCACTGCAAACGAATTCAACTTACAAAGGTTTTCCCAGAACGGGACTCATTAATAAATCGAGGACTTACTGCACTGAGCCATCTCCAGAACAAGTCTGAGAAAACAAGCCTCCTCCTACGTCAAAGGCAGCTCAGACCTGGAAGAGTGAACCTGCCCATGCTGGCCACAGACTGCCAGTGTCCACAGGCAGCCATCAGTTCTTTGCCATGTCCTAGGACTAGCCATGCAGGAAGCGCAAAACATCTTGTGCAGAGGCACTGAGGCCCCCAGTGAGAAGAGGCACCAGGCCCAAACAAACCTCACATCATCTCAAGGCCCTATGAAACTGCTTTGACAAGCCTCCCTTCTGCCAGGACTTCCCTGTGGCTGGGGCAACCCCCCATTTACCATGCCTGGTGTGGGTACCAGTACCCCAATCCTGCCAACCCTTTCGCCACCACTGGGCCCTGACAGGGACTTGGCATCTGCCCAGGCACTAGCTCTACACTCTTCTCAATTGGGAAAGCATGCGTATGCTCCTCCCTGCTCCTCCTGCTGTGAGAATGTCCTGGAGCACTGAACACTAGGTAGTGCTGGAAAGTAAGAACGCTGAGACGTGAACCTGTTTGGCAAGCACACGCGGCAAACTGCCATCAGGGGCCACAGCTTGGTGAATGCCGGGTCAGGCCCTGTGCTCCACAGACAAGACGGTTAGAGCCTGGGCTCAGGAGCTTGACTGTTCCATCCCTGCCCTCCCAGGCAGCAGGCACTCCTGTGGCTCCCGCTCTGCCACTGCCTGAGAGACACCTGCTTGGGCGCCTTCCTACCTGAAGGGTTTGCTGTCGGGGTCCGTGTCCTTGAACCCCATCTCCTCAAGCTTACAGCGCCGGTACAACTCGTAATGCCGGGCATGCGTCTGCTCCCGCAGGTCCTCCATGTTCACACGGATCAGCATCTCCCGTAGTTTCACGAAGTCACAGTGGCTTTCGTTTTCCACTGCAAGAAATGGGGAAGGGGGTGTTTGAAAGTGATGCTCCCAAGATGTCACTGATGTCACTCTGAAATTCCTGAGGTCTCACGGCCATCTGAAGATGCCTCACTGGCTCCCCCAGCGCTGTGCACGAAGACAAGCTCTCTGATGTGTACCCTGCTGCCGACAATGCCTACTGCCTACACCACGCAGGTTTGGGCCCCAGAACTTTGCAAATCTCAACCTTACCCTTGTCATCGTTTTGCTAAGCAGGCACTGTGGCTCTTGCTTTGCAGTTCAGCAGCCCAGTTTTGATGAGCAAGCCAACTCCCAAACAAAACAGCAGGGTGCAGACACAAATTCCATGTCATGTGCTCCAGAGCCATTCGGTTGGGACCTGTGCAGGGCAGCTTTTAAATACCAAAGGCATCCCCTTAACTAGATACTTACTGAAACAGCACTTACTTGGAGGGTAACTTTGCCAGAGATAATGGAGAAACACACACCCTCTTATTTATAAGAAATCTTTTCTCAGCTTTCTAAGGCTTTGTGTATAGAACTGGTTCAGACTCCTAGGGAAGAGCTCTTTGTCCCTTTCTAGGAATGGATACTGAATTTCCTACACAGCCCAGCATCTTAAGGGGCTGCTGACTACCACGAGGGTGTGGCAGTTACTTCTCTCTGCTGTCTACCTGCTATCTGGTTATTGTTTCTTTCTTCAGCCAACCTGGGAAGGCTAAGGTGGAAGCAGACCTGCTCCTCTCTACAGTGTGTGTGTGCGCGTGTGCGTGCGACTGACCGACCGTCCACCAAGGGCACTCACTATGAGCCCCTCTCCCATGCCAGACACACCTTGCACCACACCCCACGGGTACTGCCTGGCTTTTGCCATCTTGTTGCCGATCTTCACCTCTTCAGTGCTGCCAACCACTGCAAACGGGAGATGGACCTGCCAAGCAACAGGAGATAACACTGGTCATTTTCTGAAGCACATGCAAAGGCTGCTTCTGCTCCAGCCTCTGCACTTGCTCTCCTTCTGATGTCTCTACTGACTATGCAGCAGGCCGTGCAGAACAGGTACAAGACTCTCTAGCTCACTTGATGCATTTCACATATCCCAACCTACAGCCAAATACTGAACATCTGCTACAAGGGAGATTCCAAAGGAGAATGCTACGTTATGGCAAATGTACAGTGCTTCAGTGATGACATGCTGTCCACTGCACCAGCCACTCTATCTGTGGGCATGAGAAAGACGACATGGGACTAAGAAACTCACTTTTTAGTTTTCTTTACTTTTAACTATCTTTATACTTATAGTGGAAGCATAAAATATTTTCCCATTAAATATAACTTCACTGTTCAGTAGGACTAAATTTCACTTGGCCTCAAACTCCAGTTATCCAAAAAAAAAAAAAAAACCCAGAAAGACTAGTTTTGTCAAGTTAGATGCAAATATAAAGAAAAAGCACATTTTGGGTACTTAAAGTATATCAGGAATAAAATAAGTATGTGAATCTGCTTTGTAACTGTAAATTTTGTAAAATATAACTAGAGGCCAAGTATTTCTGATGAAAATTTGATGTGTGAATTGAGATACACCATCAAAATAAAATATACACTGGATTTCAAAGACCTAGTTTTAAAGTATCTCACTAACTACATGCTGAAACAACAGTATTTTGGATATATTAGATTAAGTTCTTAGAACTAAATTCATTTCTTCTTGCTTTTTAAAATGTGGCTAGTGGAAAATTTTACATTACACTTGTGGAGCTCATACTGTATTTCTCATGAACAGAACTGCTTTACACACTTGATCACTGTACAAGTTTCAAATCAGAAACATACTTTAGCCCAAAATACTAACTCAAGCGTTACACCCAGATTTATCTCAAGCAGAGATGGGTGTCCAAGACAACTGACTCTTTCACACTGGTTTATATGGTAGTTACGGCCACATTCAAGGGGTAGAGGAAAAAACTAATTCTATGTTTTTCTAATTAGTATACAAGAAAAAGGAAATTTGAAATAGCTGCTGCGAGAACTGTTCTCCGGGGCTCCTTGTCCCAGAGTCTTCTCCTGCAGATTAAGCTGAGAAGCAGGTATTTTTCAAGCCAAAAAGAGTGTAGTTTCAGGTTATCCACCCACCCCGTATCTTCTGCACATGCAAGATATTTACTTCCCTAGCTCTTCCCACTCTCTGTAGGAAGGAAGAAAAGCAGGTTCTTTCCTTAAACTCCAGGTCTGAAATTGAAATGTGCTCACTGAAGGTGAAGAGCAAAAGAGCTTTTCCAGCCAGCATTCGGTCTGAGTGACAAGGGAAGGTCTGCACTCCGTGTAACAAAAGCAGCTTCAGTGAGACTTCAGCTTCCACACAGCAGACGGCAAAGTGTCGGCAGGAACTGTCTGCAGTGAAGGGCTAGCAGGCAGCTCTGGATAAAGAGCTGGATTAGCCTGGAACATCAGAGATCCTCAGCTTCCATTAATTTAACAAGAAAGAGCAGAAGTTCATGGGTATTTTCTTTCCAAGAAGTTTAACGCAAATTTAGTTTCATGACCATGAAACATTATTTAGAGAAAGTCGATGGAATTCCTTTTGATGTCTGGTTCTACAACAAGGTATGCATGACATCCTGGCTGGAGCTTTGGACACGCTACAAGACATGCACACTGCTCCACATATGTGGTGCCAATTGTCAAGATGGGAGCATCCACTCGAGGGCCACACTGGTGGGGTTCAAATCCTCCTCCACTGCCAAGGCTATGCATCACAGGCTCTTCACCTGAAGTAGAAATAACTACCTGAGGCTGTCAAGAGGGCTGCATATAAAGTCTTAGTCTGTCTCTGGAAAATAGTAAGCTGCTCCATAAATGTCAAAAGTATCAGGCGCTACTAAGATTGCAAAGCTCTCAAAACTCATAGAAAGAGTGTTAGAGGGGGGGAGATCCTACATATTGTGTAAGAACTCCCTTTTACAGAATCCCTGCTAAGTGGGTCCAAACGGAATCTGTTGCCCACCAACCTCATGGCACGAGAACAAGCTAATTAACAAGACACTACTTCCATCACGATGGCTCCAGTGGTCACACATCCACTTCAGCATAGACCAAGTCCCCTTTCAGCTCTTTTTCCCCTCGTTTTAAAGGAGTCTGGTAGGTCTTCTTTATGGCAGCTGTCCTTTCAAACCCCTCATGTCAATTTCCCGGGAAGATTCTGCTCTTCAGCTTAAGACACATTACATCCTGACTTCCAAAACCATTACTGGGCATGCAGAGCGTTTTTACAGAAATTACGCATTCTCAAAACACAAAGATGAACAGATGCAGCACAGCTTCAAGAAACACCAAGGGTGGGGTGGGCAGGGCCAGGTAGCGGCAGGCAGGATGGGGCTCAGCAGGGAGGGTTAACTTCAAAGCTCACACAGAACCATGCCTGCATCTATCGCCTTTTAGTTCCTCTCAATGATGTGGACATTGTACCTGCAACTGCAAATTTCCCTAATGACTCAAAAATGTAGGAAAACTGTAGGGAGGGAAAGGCAGGAGCCAACCAACAAAGCAAAGCAGAGGCAACACTGACAGAAGCAAGCAGAGATCTCTTTCCTGTGAGCTCTGTGTGAAATGGGGCTGGGCTGGTGTTTCCTTCCCAGAGACTTAAAGAAAATCAGAGATTACCCAGTCTAACTCCCCAGGACAGCTGGGGAAACTGAAGCACACTTGTACTGAAGACCTCAGGTTTCTATGCAGCTCAGCCGCTAAGACAAGTTCCTGGGACAGCCACATGCTCCCACGTTACTTGAGGACTCACACTCATTGTCGCATTGATCTCTGCCACCGTTTCTTCATCTGTTGGAAACTGATATATTTGGACCCCATTGCTGACAAGCTCACTCATGATCTTACTCTTGAATTTGTGCAGTTCGTTCTTGGCAATTGTGTCTGCTTTTGCAATTATTGGGATGATGTTCACCTATAAAACAAACATGTCTGCTGTTATAATTCTCACATACAAAAGATCAGACAAGTGAATAAAACATAGCAAGTACATGGATAAAAAACTCAAAACCTCACTATAAAAACTACAGAAGATACTGAAAACCAGACTTCCTACTAGACACAAGGGACAGTTTTTATTTCCCCCTCTGAATGCTCTGGTTTTTTCTTACCCGACAATGAAGGCGTACTTATAATTTCCTCTCCTGTGTTACCTCACTCTACTTTAAGGAGTACAAGGAAGTATTATTATTCCATGACAAACAGCAGTAACAAAGGAGTCTATTCTCTGAATAACCAAGCCCTCCCTTTAGACCCTTCTCAGCTCCCTTAGGTGCTTGCATTCTGTGGGTCCTAACAGGGCACTAAAAGTTGTTTGTCAGAGCAGTGTAGTGTCAGCTCTGTGCAGAATGAAGTTCTTTCTTCTGATGCCCTGGAAATTGCTGGGAGAAGAGAACCTAAGTATTAACCAAAACAAAAGTGTTTTTACCTACTTTTAAATGTCTCAAAGACACGCCAGCTAATTCCTTTGAAAACAGGCTTTCATCAAACTACTTCATGCCAGAATGAGACCCATTGCCAAAAGCAAGGCTTTTGGTCACCAAGAACAGGAGAGAACTGGAATTTGCCAAGAAAGGCAAATAGTCTGGGGTGAGAGCCAGGGGCACCCCACAGCACAGGCTCCCAGCCCACAGTGGGACATTCTTTCCCATTTGCTTTAAATTCATGTTTTAGGATTAACTTTCTTTTGCTCCCTGGTAGGTGATAAGATGCTCCTGACATCTGTGATCTAAGAGCATGCTCAACACTGGGCCCAGGAACATGAAGTCTTAGAGGAGGAGGTTCTGAGGTAACATCTACAATCCTCTGCAGCTCCTTGGGATCCCGAGGCCCAAATGTGAAGTCCCTGATGAGATTAACAGGAGATGATCTGCTGACCAGAAGCCCTGTTCCAGGAGGCTGTGGACGAAAGGAAACCCCAATGACAGTGGAGATGTGTTTGGGTCAGGTCCCGAGGCACTTCCCTCTGGCACTCACCAGCTGTGGACACTTTAAGTACTCAGTGAACACCAGCTGGGACAAAAGAGCTGAGATTCATAGTTTCTTAGCCAAACTGATCAGAGTTGGTAAATCACCAAGCAGTTTAATTTCGGAAACTCTCTTCTCTCATTAGCAAGAGCTTGAACAACCTCTGTGAAATGATCACATTTGCTTATCTTTTCTCTTTACTTTATAATTCAAACTTTGTTAACACCACTTTAAGATGCTACCTAACTCTCCACTTCTACAATAATTCAGTTAATACAAAGTTTAACCTGCTTTGTTGGTGGGTTTTTTGGTTTGTTTGTATTAGTTGTGTTTGTTTTGCCTTTCTCTTTTTAAATCAAAATGTACTTATTTTGTGGTATCATCCTGGCTTGGGCAACATACTTGGACCTCAGAACCCACCTCACTCTACTACCTTCAGGCTATCTGTGGAAGACAGGTTCTCCTAAGAAAAGGGGGCCATGGGTGTGGCAGTGGGGGGAACAGCCCTCCCTAGCCAAGATCCCACACCATCAGAACAAGGGCCCAGCTCCAGTTCCCCAAGGATTTGAGTGCAGTGTCAAATCATTCCACACCTCCACCAAACCCTATAAACAAATTATATTGAAAGAGAATAAACTGGGGCCTTAGGAGAAGATGACCTAACAGGACAGGAGATGGTAACTGAAGAGGACCCGTACCTTACTGTCCAGCTTTTTCATGGTGACCAGGTCCAAGGACTTTAGTGAATGTCCTGTAGGGGCTATGAAGTAAAGGCAGGCATGAATCCTTGTGTCATGATAATTGAAGAGAGAACGTTTGATCTTCAATTCCTCTTGCAGGTAGGCTTCAAATTGAGCATCAATGTATTCCACTATCGGCTTATAGCTAGAATGGAGAAGAACATTTGGCAAACATGTTTTCAAATCACCATGTTTCTGTTCTCAGAGCTCTTCTGCAATTCTGTGTAGGACGTCCCCTGAGAAGTATCACCATGGCTCCACCCTCTCCAAGAGCTAGGGCCCAGGTTCTTACCTTGGCTGCTAAATCCTTCATCACCTGGCCCCTGAACAACCCCCCCAGGCTCACTCATCTCTCCCATTCCCTCCCTGGCTAGTGTTTTCTGTCCCAGGAACACACAACCACGTGTGCTGTCCCACACTTCGGCCCTCACGTGCCTGTGCACCCCTGCTCAGGCTACCCATTCAGTGGAAGGGCCTCCTTCCTCACGCTTCTTGCTGAACTCATCCTTTGTTAGACACTGTATTGGGAATGGCAGCTTATGGCTGTAATCTCAGCTACTCAGAGACTGAGGCAGGAGGATCCCTCGGTAACTTAGCAAGATCCTGTCTCAAAATGAAAAAGGGCTAGGAATGTTGCTCACTGTAAAGGTCACAGGTTCAATCCCCAGGGCCACAAAGGAATGAATGCATGAGTGAATAAAATGAAAAAAAACAAAACAAAACAAAAAAAAAAAACCAAGACTATAAGTATGTGGAGCATACTGCCTCCTCTCCCAGGGCACCCATGGGAGATACTGCTAAGAGAGAGTGTCATTCCTTCCTACTAGGCCAAAACTGTGCATTCAAATCAGTTTCAATAAAGTGACTCTGGGGGCTGGGGATTTAGCTCAGTGGCATAGCGCCTGCCTGGCAAGCACAGGGTGGTGAGTTTGATTTCCGGTACCAGAAAAAAACCAAACCAAAAAAAAAAAAAAAGAATAAAGTGACTCTGAAACTCTCAACCAAGAGAAGACCCCGGAAGTAAAATTGGCTTGTGATCTCAGGCCGCCCACTGGGAACTTCTCCCAGGTGTCTTCCTGGCCTGCTCCTCCAGAGACGGAGACTGCGCTCCCACAGGTCTTGTGCACACTTTAGACTTCTAGAGATGGAGGGGCCTGCGCTACTATGAGCTTCAAAACTCTATCCAACTTGAAAAATATATAATTAAAGGCAAACTTTGTAGCCCTCTTTTCCTCACCCAATCATGTAACTGTTTGAACAGTTACATACCATTAGCTGACCATAAACACGACAATTAATAGCATATTAGAATATATATTCAATAAACTACATGTTCCCCAAGGAGTAGCACTAGGTTAGGTTACTGTGGGAAACCCACAAATCCTTCCACGAGCCCAAGGGGACAACTGCTCAAGAGAAATTCATTTCAGCAACAGAGAGACCTTAACCTTTTAGGAGTCCGAAGGGTTAGTTCTCCCCAACCGCGCTACCTTTCTGAGGAATGATTTCAATTGTAAGAAAAGTAAAAACCTTTCAATACCCAAATCTCTTACTCATAAATTAAACTAAAGGCCTTGAAAGGGCACTGCAGATCTTTTACAATAAGGATGTCAGCAAATACTCCAAAACAACCTCCCCAAATAAACTACAACAGCAAATGTATGACCCAAACTGAAAACAGTCAATAAAAATATTTTGACAGCATTTTCTTTAATGATTTGATCATAATCCATTGACTCAATTTAAGCACGCAAAATCTCTTGAGTTTTTTTAAAAAAAGTGGAATATGCCTCAGCAGTTAAAAAGCTCTGAGTCATAACAAGCAAATCCTAAAAGAGGATGACTAGTAAGATTCTTCTCTATTTTCCAATTTTAAAATAGGGGCAAGCACTACACCACAATAACCCCAATTGCTATGGGGTAGTTACCTGGGATGGTGGTTAGACACCTGGATTCAAGCCAGATGCCTCAAACCACAATCTAGCTTCAGGCACTGGCTGAATGGTCTTGGACAAATCACTACACCTCTCTGTGTCCTGCTTTCCTAACAGGGAAATCAAGGACAAAAATAGTGCTTCTATCAGAAAGGACTGGCATGTAAGAGTATCATACACCTGTTTCATAAAAATATAAACAGATAAAAGTAGTTTGAGGTTTAAAAAAACCACATACACACACACATACACACGCACGTGTGTGTGAAAAAACAAAACCCCAAACCCACAGGAACTCTACACCCTCTGGATTCCTTGCTGAGGGTTTTGCTTCTGAACACGTGCCCTGCAGGGCAGCGTGGACAGACCATACCCCAGGGCTGATCTTTGCCCAGGGCTGACACTAAGGCAGATGTCCTGACATTAGCAGTTGTCCCTGGCACCCTCTTAGCCCATGGGGAGGAAAAGCAGCTCACAGGTTTGTCCTTTGTGGCTCCCAGAGTCTGAGTGTGAGCTCTCTGTCTCCTCTCAGCAGCAGTCCAAGTGCACGTCTGCTTTCTGTTAATCTCCCTCCTTGCCTCTGGCTTTGATTCTGACCTCCGAAGGTCACGGGAAGCACAACGCCTCTCCTTTGTGGGAAAGCAGCTTCCTTAGTGGCTGCACAAATCTTCTGTTCTTTTCTCACATTTCAGGCCTCCTCTGCCTGCCCGGTAGGCACTCTTGGCCACTCCTGGCAGACACTCCCACTTCTTCCCACGCTGTGGTCTCTCCAGAAAATCATGTTCACTGCGATGTTTCACTGACCATGTAACTGATGACTAGGTACACGTTTCTGCCTCTAGCCCAGATCTTTCCCTTGTGCTTCAGACCCATCTACTGAACTACTTTCAGATTATTTCCAACTATTCTGCTAACTAAATTTGTCCAAAATCAAACAATTTACCCTGTCAACACCCACAGGCCCCTATATGCCTCGGCATGGTATGGGTGTCACCACGCACACTTCTGTCCAAGTCGGAAACCCAGTTTACCCTAGGGACCTCCTCTCTCTTAAGAGTCAAGCATAAAATTCTTTATCTTACCTTACCTTCTATGTCATTATAAACAAGGGAAGCAATGTTCTCCTGGAGAGCTAGTTACCAAAACCACTACTTCCTATGTCAAACATTTAATTATGCAAATGAAACAGCTTCCTCTTAATGAGAAACAAACGAGCTAAATGGTTTGTATTCTGACTCATAATCCCAGAAACAAATCTTCTGCCCCTTCCTACCTCTTGTTATCAGAAGAAAGAAAAGCCCTAACTCCAATTTTGCCTTTTGTTAGTTTCTACTTGTAAAAAAGGTTACCCAGCCAGGCATGGCGGCATATGCCTGTAATCCCAGCACTAGGGAGGTTGAGGCAGGAATACTGCCTTAAGTTTGAAGCCAGCATGGGCAAGGACAGCCTGGACTACATGGCTACACACATTGTAAAAAAAAAAAAAAGATACCTATTCTGTGTGACCAATTCAAACTTCTTGGGATTACAGCCATACCTAGTGTTTGTGTTGGGGAGACAAATAAGCCTTTCCATTTTTGTGTAATTTCCTGTTAAAACATGGGGGTGGTCCTTGTTATGGGCTCATTATTTTTCATGTAATTTCATCCACAAAAAAAATACAATAAAATCACAGAAGCTCACCCTAAAAGTGCTAGAAAAGTTTTCTTATACAGCAGTATTTTCTGTCCATCCATTCTACCAACTGATCATTCTTGCAAAATGGCCATTCATCCAGGGACTGAATCTCCCTCTCACAACCACACCATTACCATGTCCTCCTCTTATCTGGCTATCTCTTAGTCAAGACAACATTCCATACCCCTGGGAAGTTCCTACCTCTGCCAGGAAGTGTAGTAAGAAAATTCAAAGGGCAAACAGTCTGTTTTACTACTATCATATGACTCTCATAAAGACTGGATGAGCCTGGAGATTTTCTCTCTTGGTGGGTTCTGAGCACCCATGGTTTTCAGTGCTAGCCTTACAGTTCGAGAGATGCCATGGACAGCCACCAGCCACCTGCCACCTCCCAAGGCGGGGATTAGCAAACTATTCTATTACAGCTGGAGAGTAAAACTTGGTTTCCCTTCCTCTTTGGACTCTTTTCCTTCTTCAAGGAGTACAGACAGCAAAGCAAGGAAGCCCTTCAACAGAAAAAAGGTTGCACGTCACAGGAAACCTTACCAGATCTGTCTTCCTGCCTCCTTCTAGCTAGCCTGGCCAGAGGCAGATAATGACACAGGAATGTTGACATGTCCAAAGCCTACATAAACAAACTGAGACATTCTTTTTTTGTTGTTTTGTTTTTTTTTCCGGTATCGGGAATCGAACTCATGACCTTGCACTTGCCAGGCAGGCGCTGTGCCGCTGAGCTAAATACCCAGCCCCAAACTGAGACATTCTTAAAGTCTTACATGTATGGCAGAAAAGCTTGCCTAATTCCCAAAGTGAGTAAAAATTATCACGGGTTAGAGAAAGAGCACATCCCTTCCCATATGGTCACGTACCACTGCAAAAATGCACATCCCACTTCCAACTTCTTGATAAAAGCAGAGCCCATTCAAGTAACTATTTTTAAACAAGTTACTTGGGTTTGTAGTCAACAGTGTCAACAATGCCTCCTGAGGCACAGGGTACTGAAGAATTTCAAATGCCATTCCGAGATTATGCAACAGCTGTCAAGAAATTTCAGAAGAAAAAATATTTGGTATCTAGGTTAGGTTAACATTACACTTCCTCTCTTCTAAGTCTCCTTGGAAACTATTATTTGACCCAAATGAGTCAGATAATTTCTTAAAGAAGTCTCCAGCTGCAAATAGGAGGATCTACATTGTACTGGCTTAGTGATTTGTCACTCAGTGAAACCCCTTAGCCTGAGGAAAGTCCCCTTTTGCAGGGAAGGCAAAACACAAAAATTTAGGGGCAGTTTTAAGGCAATAACTCTGAGCTGGAAGAGCACAGGGAAAATCATTTCTTCTATTTTTTTATTTTTATTTTTTTTGCGGGGCGTGGGGTAATGGCCAAAGAGTGAACCCAGAGCCTAGTGCATGCTAGGCATGTGCTCTACCACTGAAGTCCACCCCAGCCCATTTTACTTTGAAACAGAATCTTACCAAGTTGCCTGGGCTGGCCTTGAAATCATAATCCTCCTGCATCAGTCTCGCAAGTAGTTAAAGGCATGTGACACCATGCCCCATGGGCACATGTTATCTCAGGAGTAAGATGCCAGATGGAAGATATACTTACTCCTGTGGGAATCCTGAAAGGCCTGTCCTGAGTCCCTCCAAAACCTCACGGAGTCATAGCCAGAGCTTTTCCAAGATGCCTGGTTCTGGAGTGTGTGATGCCAGCATCAAGGGTGTGTGATTACTAAAATGAGCCCACTGATTGGTTTGGCATAGTTCTGGGAAGGATTAAGGCTGCCCTGCCCTGGGTGAGTGCTACCATCCGTAAAGATGTGTAGCCTGGATACGATACAAGGGACAGAAAGAGGGTCGCCGCTTGTCACTTGTGGCCTTCTGCCCTGCCTCTTAGATGCCCCTCTGCAATGGCACCCTGCCTTGGAGCCAGCCAACTATGGACTGAAACCTCTACAAACTGTGAGCTAAATAAACCTTTCCTCCTTTTACTTTGGGTGTCAGGTATTCTGTCTCAGCAATGAGAAAAGTAACTAAGACAAGGCCCAATCAGGGAATGCACAAACATGAGATTCTTGAACCCCAGGAAGAATCTGTCTGGGCCGAGAAATGGAAATGAGGTCTCTCCCACATGGCCTATGATGATGCGATGCTCAGATGCCCTGTCCAGCCCCTCCCACAATGCTCCTGTGCCCTTTTCCCTGTCACCAGCATTTGTGCCTCATTTATTTTTCTTGGCATTACAAGCAGCTTTCAGCCAGTAACCTTTCTGTCATTCCTTGGCATCAAGGTCGGCGCTAAGAGCCCCTGTGCAGCTGCAGTGTCAGAGCTGCGCTGTCTCTGCCACAGCACCATGTACAGTGTCCGCTTTAACCAGACACAAAACGGGGCTCCTCACTGCGTCTAACAACCATGCCTGTCGCCACAGGGCCACATCTGAGGAGCCTTCAAAATGCTTTGGAAATACAATAAAGAATTCAGAGCTCGAAGAATGGATTCAATACTTCTGTCAGCACTGTTGTGCTCATATTCATGTTGGATTATTAAAATATATCAAGACAAAGCACATTTCCACATAAAAAGATAATGTACATAACATGTACAGTATATATATGTATGTGTGATTTTTTGAGACAGGGTCTTACTGTGCAGTTCAGATTGGCCTTGAAGTCATGACACAAGCAGGCTGGATTTGAACTTGCACTCATCCTCCTGCCTCAGCCTCCTAAATTCTGGGATTACAGGCATGCACCACCATGCCTGGCTTCAGGGTAATCTGTTTAAAAAACAAAAACCTGGCACTAACGAAGTTTCTGAGCCACAAAGAAACACACCGTGACAGGCTTCTTACATACTGGTCAATGTCTGGAACAATCCTGTAAGGCTGTCCCTGCTCAACAACGTATTTGGAGGTCTCAGTTTAGAACCGTTTTAGGCATGGAACTTTTAACTTCCCCAACCAAACTTCTTTTGAGAACGAATATAATATTTTTAAATAGTCATGACACTTAAACTCAAGGTTGAACAGGATCGGTGCTCTTGAGAAGGAATATGAGCACAACCTTGGGAGCAGGACTAATGTGGATTTGCACTGGGGGTGGTCTAAGGATTAACAACACCCCTCAAGTATGGGCAAAGTGGTTCATACAGAAGAACCCAGACTTAGGTGGGCTTTACAAATGGGGTAGGTGTATTTTATAAAATGAAAGGTCACTATATTATTTTATATTACCTCCTCAAATTTATGTGAAGGGTGATAGTTAGTTTTAATGAATGAATGTGCAACATGGACTGGTAGTTAGGAACCTTGATCTATATAAAACTACGGGACCAAAATGCTTACAAAATATTCTATTTCTTAAGTGGGTGGCACACACCTTTTTCCACATACACACAGAATTTTGTGGTGTGAATTACCTAACTAGCTTAATAAATCTTCTCTGCTCAGAAAACTTTAATCTATCCAACTAACTTAAGTTCTTTGCTAGGCTTGACTGAGACCCCAATCATTACTCAGCCTGGCAAGTTTTGTACCCCAAGTGCAGCCCACCTTTGAGCAGTCCCAGGGAAGATCCAGACACTGCACAACACCAAAACCCTCAGAGTCAGGATCCTGTGCCAGCTGGAAACTCATTTAGCATTGTTCTAGCAGATCATTCATGCTTTCTTCACTGTGGGGCTTTAAATGCTAGTATCATTCTTGTCAAAAGACACCAAAACAGTATCGAATCCCTCATATTCACCACATCCGTCTTAGCAGCCCAACCTTTCACATACACTAGCCCTGGAAAACACCTGAAAGAACACACAACACATCCCTATCAAAGTCAGGTACGTTCCCAAGGTCCACAGCTTCTTATTACCAAAACCCAAGCACAGTGCAGTCTCCCAGTCCTGGGCTATGGCTTTCTAGGAAAAATCACAATGATTCAGTTTTCATCCAACTCTGTGTCCGGGTATTAAGTCAAATACCCATTCTGCTTCAGAGATTAGGAGAGCATGGCAGATGCTCACCCAAATTCCTTTTACTTTCTAATGATTTCTTATTCTACAGAGCTAAAAAAAAAACAAACAAACAAAAAAACCCAGCCACATCTTCCAGGATCTCTTCCTCCTCAGATTCTAGATGTGGCTCAATTTCTGCCAGCAGATGCAGCTGTGCAAGGCCTGGAAGCAGGGAGTGAGCAAAACAGTCAGAGCCACACATAAAGGGCACACTGTGAGTGTACTTCGTGACTGGGATAGATGTGGAGGTTCTGGTGCCTCTTCTAGAAGCACAGGTCCCACCCAGTGAACGGCAGCTGACAGGAAGCATGTCTCTAACACAGTCTGCAGAGGATGTTATTTCTCACTTTCCTAGTGGGAAAATTCCCCAAACCTGGTTCTCAGATGTTTCTAGAGAAATGGCATAGAGAATGGCACATTTTATTCCTCCCAACAAATCCCTTTTCTGCTTATCCCAGCTAGAATGGATTTTGTGGTCTGATGCTGATCTCAAGAAAGAATATTTTCAGAAAATTTCTCTGAGGACAAGAAGGCCTTATCTTGAAGGTGACAGAGGACCAAGCCCCACAGCTAGAAAACACCGGAAACTGTTAGTATTTGAATGCACCCAGGATAGATCCTACTATCTCTTCACCCATTCACATCCCACAACACCCTAAGATGTACCTGTCATCTTTATTTATTTGGTCTCCAAACCCCACGGTGTCAACGATGGTTAGCTTCAGCCGAACATTGCTTTCCTGAAGCTCGTAACTTCTGGCTTTTAACCGGACGCCTGGTTCATTGTGAGTAGCCGGGTCACTTTCAAATTTAGTGTTGAATAAAGTGTCCATTAATGTGGATTTGCCAATTCCTGTCTCGCCTACATAAACACAAAGGGAAAATCTGAAAATGTGTATTTCAGACATCAGTTCATCAGTATTTTTAAAAATTAATCATGTTTGTAACATAAAAAAACCAGAAATATGTATAATACACAAAATACCTCTCTAGAAATGTCTCAAGGACGGTCAGAAACTACTTAGCATAAAAGAGCCTGGACTTATAGAGCAAGATTTTTTTTTACCTCTGCATAAAAAAAAAAACAACATTACCAGTGAGTTTTCCTATAACCAATCTACATATTACAAGGATATAAACTGTCTAACTTTCTTAAATGTTACCTTAAAAAAAACACTTGATTCCATGTTGTTGAAAAAGAATTATACATTTCAAAACAACTCTCTTGACAACAGTACTTACTAATGTTACTGGATGCTTATTTTGTACCAGGTGCTGTAGCAAGAGGTTTTGGTTTTTTTTGGTTTTTCTCTGGTACGGGGAACCGAACTCACGACCTTGCGCTTGCCAGGCAGGCGCTTTTGCCACTGAGCTAAATCCCCAGCCCCAGCAAGAGGTTTTGATTCCTTCTCTTGTTTAAACTCTGCTACTTACCCCATCAAGTAGATACTAGGGTTTCTTGCATTTGGAGGATGAAGCACTAAGGCTTAAGCAAACTTTCCAAGTATTTTGTCTCAAGTCATACCACAGGTAGCTAAGCCAGGTTCTACCTGAGGTTTGTAGCACTTTAACAGCTACATTCAATCAACACAGCATCCTGACTGTACTACGACAGGAAAAATGACTGCCTAGTACTTTCCAGTTACGGCTATAAGTCTATGTTAATTCTTAGTAACTGAGCTCCCTATTCCCATTCAGCTGACTTCAAGCTGGCAAACAGTAGACTTTTCCACTTGCATGGCGACATTATGACAAAGAAACTGCATGATGTTAAATGACCTGAAACAATGACCTTATTAATTTACAATGGTAAGTCCCGTCACTGAGTTGTTTATTGAGCCTCTCATGTGTACAAAGTGGAGTGTCAGGTACCTGAAACAACAACATCAAATACATGGTGAGACCCAAATGTGCAACCATGACGAATGTCCACTCAACCTTCAAAACAGGACCCAAGCAGTAAGCAGGGCATAGCTCAGTGGTAGTGGCCTTGCACGGAACAGGCAAGGCTCTAGGTTCCATCCCCAGCACCACAGAACACAAACCAACAACAAAGCACCAAGCAAAAGTCTCCCCCCAACTAGTTCTGTGAGCCAAACACAGCTGGCAATGAGAAAACCCAGCTTTGCTGGTGACAGTGGAAGCTGAGCATATGTGATTATGGCGAGAGGAAAGTAGAAATCAAGAAATACTAGCTCTAAAGATATTTTTTTGTTAATCTTAAAAAAAATTCTCAAAGAAAGATAAACTCGAGACTTTTATAGGTAAATGGTCACAACTAGACATCATACTCATAAGTGAAATAAATCAAACATACATGTGCAAGCACCGCATTGTTTCACTAGTGTAAAACCTGAAAGAGTTAATTTAAACTAGGAGATATGATAGACATTGTGAATTGATAGGAAAGCACTCAAAGGTAAAGGGCAACTGGGATGTGGGAAAAGAAGGGAAAGAAGGAGAAATTTTGTATGTATGTATATGCAGGATAGTCAACATGGCTGTTCTACTGTCTTGTATTTCTTTGCTGAAAGAAACTGTCAGTGAGTCCTTGGTTGATCAGCATTGCATATCTATGTCTGTTTTCATGAGAAACCACTTTGAAGATATCAATATGTAATACAACAAGCATTGTTAATTCCCTACCTCTTTGTTTGTAACTCTGTACTGTTCCTTTGCTATTTTGTAAAATGTTGTCTGTCTGTTAATATTTTCCTCCTTTTATTTTTAAAATTAAAAAAAAAAAAATTCTTAGATTTCCAGCTTGGTTTAAACATCCCAGTATACAGCAGCCCTTTCAACAAACCTAACCCTGATAATGTTCCTGGGGACATTCCCTCTTCTGAAGGGTTGTTACAATGGCATTAAGGATGCTGACATTCCAGGAAAAGCTCTGGAACTTACAGCCTCAGGGTAGCACTCTCACTCTAAGGACAAAATCCTCTAATTAGAAGTTCTTTATTTATGGTGCTCATTGTCTTCCAACAGTATGCAAAGTAAAGTAGGATGGAGTCTTTCTGGATTTGAGCTTTCTCTGATTAGAAACCTTATGTGGCTTGCCACTTACGATACATAAAGTTATTCAAACTGGGTGTGGGGACACATTTGTAATCCCTGCTACATGGAAGACTGAGGCGGGAGGATTACCTGCACTCACAAATTCTGAGACTAGTCTGGGCAATACAGTAAGATCTCAGCCCACTAAGGTGCAAAACTGCCTGGACTGGGCTCAAACTTGCAATCCTCTTGCCTCAGCCTCCCAGAGTGATAGAATTACAAGCATGCATCACCACACCTGGATTTGCCTTACTCTTTAACCTTTCCCACTGTGTCCCTGATAGATGTAAGATCATATAATTTCTTCCTCCATCAGGCTTCATTCAGCCAGTGTTTTCTAGTGCCTACTATGTACCCAGCTCTGTCACAAGTTCTGGAATACAGCGATGAAACAGCCTTATAGGGCATTCTCCCAAGTCTTAAGAGTCTAGTCCAGAACATAAGTGAATACCAATCAGCTCTGACTTATTATTACAGGAATAACATTTTAAGCATCTGCCATAACCACATTCCCCTTATGAACAAGACCAGACCTTATACTCTGTGACCGTGAGAGCTGACCACAGATAACTGGACTAGGACCAGGCCCCTGACCCAAGGCCACCAAGTACACCTGCTTATTATTCTGTGATATAATAGTACCTACTGGTCCCATACAAGCAGAACTTCTCTATGTGAGTGAGAAATACACAATCTAAATCAGGCGTGGTGGCACACACCTGTAACTCCAGCACTTGGAAAGCTGAGGCAGGAGGATCATTGCAAGTTCAAGACCAGCCTGGGCTACAAAGTGAGTGCAAGGCCAGCCTGAACTGCATAGGGAGACCCTGTCTCAAACACACACACACACACACACACACACACAAAAAAAAAAAAAAAAGGAGAAATACAAGATCAAGATCACAGCAAGAGAAGGGAAGCTGTACAGAGCCGGGTAAATAAGCAGAAGCTATGTAGCAGCAAAGGCTCAAAGTGAGTAGAAGTTGTACTGTGGATAGATGATGGCTGGGAATACAGCATAAAGAGCGTATTGGCACAGCTTACAGGAAATTCATGTATTTAACTAATGAATACGGTGATAAGCATAGGTGTAAGGCTGAAATGGTGAACAGAAACAGTCAACACTGAACTTCTGCAATACCCTGATGTTATTTCAGATCCTCATGAGGTCTGACAGTGCAGCAGCTAAGAGCCTATTTGGAGACTCTAGCAGGGGAGCACAGCTACTCGTACACCCTCAACAAAGGAACTGTCCTCTATGGGGGCTGTTCATCCTCTTTCACTGAGCATGGAGCATGGAGGGAGGAAGGGGATACCTGCCTACTGAGCCAGATCTCCTGGATCAATACTGATCAGTGAGGTAACAAATGTTACAGCCAGATCCCCTCACATCCTGTGCAGCAGCTGAGACTGTGTTCTCTCTTCTGTACCTTCTTGAATATTCTTACAAATAAACTCCATCAAAAAATGGAAGAGAAACCAGTACCTATTCTTTAAAGTGTAACAAGCCCACAATCAAGATTCATGGCTTAACAAAGCAGCTTTAAACAAAACAAAGTTACAAGTAACAGATACAGAAATAAAAGACGGTTCTCCACCAAGAGACTTGGAATCTGGTAGGTGACTATGGAAGTACTTGAGCCTGTGTGTAACCTCCTCAGCACAGCCAGCTGCTTCCCAGGATTTCCCTGTTCTCCCAACATGGACAAGGGCGCCCTGCAGAGCTCCCCAGAGAAATCCCCTCACACTAAAGGTTCTGTCAGTAGAAAGTGACCTGCTTGCTCCTCCCCTGCTTCCCAAGGGACACCAATAAATGCTTCAATTTATAGGGTAAGAATTCTAGGTTACCTGGACAGAGCTGAAATTACCATTTCCTTTTATTAGGTGGAAAATTATTAAGCACATGTGAATGTGGAACAACATACTTTTTTTTGAAGCCACTGTAACTTTAATGATGTTAGGGTGGGAATTATGAACAATTAGCATTCCAGGCCCTACTTACAGCATGGGGGTAATCAGTGGGTTGAAAAAACCACTGTCCCTCTAAATTTCAGAGTGTTTAGCTTTCCATTCCTATGCTCTGTGCTTTAAGATCCATAATTAGACACAGCAATGTGATTCACCAAAAGCAGTTTCATAGGAAGTGGCAGTTTTGGAATAAAATGAACTACAGAAGCTAGGGAGCTCTTCAGTGCACTGGCTTCTAGACATCTCTTCGCACCTTGAACACAGCCTTGTTTATACTTGTGAGGATCTACTGAACAAAGAAGTGTCTCCCTGAGTAACTGAGACACTTCTAGTTAAAGGGGCCATTTCAAAGGAAACAACCACAATAGTAATGTTCTGAAAATCATGACTACAGCATTCCAAACTTCCTTGCAGAGCACCATGGACAGAGAAGGCATTTATCAAAAATTAAAGTAAAAATGATCATGCTAATCATTTCTACAGAGACTTGCCACTATGGTAGACTTTTCAGTTTGTTTTTTATTCTACTGTGAATTCATCTGCCTATACACATGATTGGTAGAGCAGTTGAAGAATCACTCGTGAAGTGCTACCCATGACTTCTGTTTTCGCTGCTGCTACCAACAGTGGTGACCATGACATCCAAATCACCAAGGAAAGTGGTCCTACTCTCTTCATTCCACTCTCAACCTGATTTCATCTACACACTTTGAGGTAGCCATGGGAAAACAAAACAAACAAACCCACCACCAGAAAAACTGCATTATTACCCAAGAGGTAACTGCAGATGAGGTTCAACATGCTGTGCTCTCATTGCCACCTGGCTACTTAGGCAAG